TCAGATGTTCTTCGTTTATACCATTATGATTTTCTTAAAAAAAATTACTCTAAAGGAATAATATGAGGAACTTCAAAATTTCTTGAAACGTAAACACATTTTGTTCCACTGCTACCAGAGTCCTCTATATAATCAATAGGATTTAACTTGAAAGTATTACTTATTTCTAAAAGGGAAAAGAGAAACTAATTTCATCTGAAAAGCCCACAGCATGGTACAGCCAACACTGTGTAAAGTTGCTTTTGTAATAAATCTGTGTATAACCTCCACAACAAAAAATGTAAGACAGGGAAAATTGAGAGACAATTTGTCCTTAAGGCGAAGAAAACTGAACTGAAATGCTCTCAATGGACTAAGGAATAAGAAATAAGTTAAAACCTCAGAAATCTAAAGGTTTTACACTGAAAAAACTAATGCAACTGCTTTTGGCATTTATTTACAAACAATTAGAGCAATTATTAACAAAATTGTTTCATGGCCTATCCAGCTAACATGAAACAATTGCGTTAAAGTAACTAAATATGATTACGTAAATGCCCAAAAATGGTTGCATTATTTTTTTCTCAGTGTAGAAAGAAAGAACGTACATTTCATGACACCTATGAAGGTTTTAGACAAGGTCAGCAGAAAGGCCTCAGCCTTTTCATACTAAGCAGCTGCATGGCTGTTTCTTCCCAGCACTCTGCGGACATCTCACCCGTCAGAAATCGAGGCTGAGATGAGCCGAGTGGACGGAGTAGAGGGACGTCCATGTTGGCTTCAGAGCTCCACTGCTCACAGCAAACCTTCAGTTAAAAAACACAAGACTCCAGGCAGATTAATAAACATGTGGAAGGTGGTAATATAGAAAAATACAAACTGATTACAACATTAAGCAGCAAATAACTGTTGTAAATAAAGTGTAGCTGTATAATTAAAGTCAAATGTTGTTCGTTTATTGGTGAAATATTATATTTCCACTGACTGGCAAGTTTTTAGAGGAGCCGACAATCATGGATCAAACCATAAAACACTCAGGGCTCAGTTTTGGTATTAATGAAATTGTTTAGATATATAAAAAGACAAACCATTAATAATCGGATAGCTAAATGTTCCTTAAAGAAAAGTTTTTATTAAATGAATCCAGGTGAAACTAAAACTTTTCCACTATAGTTCTGGATATAGCATATTGACAGACGAAAAAGTTTTTTTTTTAACTTAAATGCAAAGTATTTATATAAATATTTTTACAATTTTGGTCAGTCATTCAGCTAAAGGCATGTTTTAGAGTCTCTGTACTGCAGTAAACGATTAATCGATTGCTAAATTAGTTGATGATTATTTAATTATGATTAATCCGATTATTAAAAACGATTACTAATTCAAATGTCCATAATTTTTCACCTTCTGTAGCAACACGGTACTGGAATGGTAACCATTTGGAAAGTGTCACCAGGTGATAATCTATGGAAGAACAACAGAAGTGTATTACTGCATCGCCTGTATACTGAAAAATAAACAACCCAAAAATTACCATTAGAAAAAATAGCCAGCAGGGGGCAGTATGAAGCAGCTCTCAACTGGAGCAGCTGAGGGTGAAAAGGTCTCGCCCACCATCAGTCTGCTGCCACACTCAGCCAGAGGAGCACTGATGATGAACTCTCTGTTAAACCGACGCCTGGAGGTGCAGCGATCCCATCCAGAAACAGGTGATCCGAGCCTCATTCGACAAGCTTCACAGGGAAGTCTGGGTCTAAGAGATGTGGCCTCATCGTTATCTCCATGCTGTTTTCCTGACAGCTCACCAAAAGGGCCTGGAGATCAGACTGCAGCAGGAAGCTCAGTCTGAGAGCAGCCAGGTCAGAGTAGGTCAGAAAAAGCTGTTCGGTTGGATACGAGTAGCTCCTAGCTTGGAGAAAACAGGCAGTTAATAAGAAAAAGGAAGGAAAAACACTCATTTTTATGGTTGGTTTTGCCACTTCTCTGATTTGGTGTGTTTAGAGGGGCCAAGAGAGGAACAGCTGAATCTGATGGGGCCTGATTACCTGAGCAGCTCGGACGCCAACATGCTAACCTTCCAAAGATCCAAGAGACATGCATTAAACGAGTCAACAACAATGTTTAAAAAAGAAAAGATTTATTCCAGTATATAAAACTGTACATGGTGCAATGGGAGTAAAATGATGCAAAATCTGTATAAATTATACAAAAAGTGTTATTTCTAAAAAGTTAAGATTGTCCCATCAGCAGAGATCATTTCTGCCTCTGTCCTTGGAGCTGCAGCTGCAGTTTAATGGTGGAGTGTAGTGTAATCCTCTCTTCTTTCATGTTTTTTCCTCAGAGTTCTCCAGCGTCGTGTGCAGCGCTTTCCACTCTCTCCGCTCCGCTTGCTTCTTCAGCTCCTCCTTTATCGCCCGTGTAACCTTTCCACACCTCCTTCAGACAGTCTGCATGTAGGAACACAAAAACTTCAGGAGCGTAACGGCAAAACCTGTACATTTTAAATTTTTGATCAGATATTAAATTCTAGTGTTTAATGTTACACAATAAAAAGCAGTTGCGTTCTGCTTACAATAACTTCAAAAAATTCAGTTATAGTCCTGCATAATCTAAATGATTGCATCACCTAGTCACTGAAGTCAGGTGTGCATCAGAATAGAAACACTTGGCCCCTAAGGGCCCCGAGTTTGGGGACCATTTTAAAACTCTTGGGCTGAATCTCAGACCGCTCCCTTACCGCTATCGCTTTAACTATCAATATGTCATTCGCAATAAAGTCACACTCGCAGCTGTGGAAGGCGCCATGATTTAAGGGGGGGTGGGGGAATGGGACGGCCTCTTCCCTTCAACAGATAAAGAAAGTAGTCGTTGCTATGGCAACACAGTGACGTCCCATGTGCGTGGCTGTAGCTCTTTAGCACAGGGTGACATAAAATATAACATTCACCCCTTTGTTAAAACAAATGTATACAGTCCAAGAAAAGTATTTGGATTGTCCACTTTGGAATTAAATTTTTTCTTATACCTAACTTATGATTTTTCATCAGTGTAATGAAAATGCAGCAAACCGGTGGAACTTACATTTAAATGCACGCGCTTCCTCTGTCATTGCTTTCTGAGGATGTATTTGAATCATTTTTTTCGTTGTATTGGACCTAAACTAAAAGCTGTAAGACACCAATCTGTGGTTTACACCAAGGCCCAATACTACTGTTACACCTGATGCCAAATTCCAGTGAGTCTGTACTTATGCAGACTCGCTAAACATCCACAAACAGAGGGTTAGCACTCAGGGTTGGTGCTTAGCGGCCCGGTTCGGTATTGGGCCTTGGTCTATGTCACAGATCGTGTCTTACAGCTTTTAGTTTTTGTCCAATACACCTGAAAAAAAATGGCTCAAATACATCCTCAGCAATCAAACAAGTTCTCTAGTCCTGCTACTGACCTAATAATATGGTTCAGGTGTATTAGAGCAGAAATGGATCTAAGGAAACAGGGTTTAGCTGGATTGTCGCTCCTTATTCAGTGAAATGCAAAAAACTTTCAGCTGCTTTGGAAATATTTCCTAAAGTTTTTTGTTGGTGTGATCAAATTTTTCCTCATTTGTGTTTATTGTATTCAGCTTTATCTCGCCTCGGGCACCAAAGAACCTGTCTGGGTTTTGTTTTTGTTTTTTTCCTCCTGCCACAATTTGTTTCGTATGAGGCACCTGGTCAAATGATGAGGATTATGTGCCTCTCATTTGAGTAATTACAAAAAGAGATCAAATTATTACATTTTTCATCATGTATAACTTTAGCTAAAATTTCCCTTAAAAAACGAAAGAAAAACACATGCTATGTGTTGAATGCCAGAACCTTGCTTTGACGTCTTCAGGACGTGGTTCTCACAGAGGAAGTTCTCCAGCCTCCGGTCCTGATGGTGGAAGTACCAGTCCTCCACCACCTCCTCATACTCCTCCAGCATCGTCTCGCACTGTTCAAACAAAAGATAAAACTTTGTCTTTCAATGCCAGTCCACATGGAAACACTGCAGGGCAAACACGAGCCTTTGGGTGTTTTCCATCTTACCTGTTTTTTCATGTCTGTCACCTCAGCCGACGGTTCGTCCCAGAGCTCATAGGGCATACCCAGGTCTACTTTCACTCCTTTGTTGACCAGATTCTTCAGAGTCATCATGGTTTGACTGGAACCCTGCAGCCAAATGACAAGAAGACAAACCAAATGTTTGAATACACACAGTTTAATACGGTGGTGAAATAGTAGAAAATAATCCAGCGGTGACCACTGCTAGCTCCAATTTACATAAAATGTAAGAAAATATTACCTTGGGGTATCTGAGGCTACCGGGCCTCTCAGCGTGAACTTTATACTGCAGGATGCGCTCACATATGTTGTCCACTGCCTCCGTCAGCCGAGTTTCTCTAAAATAGAACAAAAAAGTTTAATACTGACCTCTAATAAAGAGACAAGAAACAAAGCTTCCGAGGCCAAATGTCTACATGGAAAAATGCATAGAAAACATAGGATCCAACACAAATATAACAAACATTAATTATACAGTTGCAAAAAAAATCTTCTGTCTGAAGCATTCTTGAATTAATGCTGTATTTTCGACATGTGAAAAAACTTAAATAAAAATAAATAATACATAGGTGTTCCTCAAGGCTCGATTTTCGGGTCAATTTTATTTTAATATTTACATACTTCAAAAAACCCCGATTATGGAGTTTTTATTATGAATATGGCTACAAGACCTCAGCTCTTTGCAGGTAATGAGCGGGTGTATCAATAATATGGATGGATCGAGGGAAAAAGGGGGTATAATTAGAAAAATAAAGGCCTTTATCATCCCACTGTTGGAAAATATGGCAAAACAAGTAGACACAATGCTTGAAAAACAAAATACATAAAAAAAAATGCAGAAATAATACTATTCAAAGAAAAAAAAATTTAAAAGTTAGCTGTATAGTTAAAAAAAAAACAGAGGTATAAGAAGTGTTCAGCATTTAATTAAACACAACGGGGACAGAGAGCATAAGTATCGGGCTAGGCTAGCAGAGAATTCGAGGAGCCACAAACCGTTAATCCCCTCTATAATCATGGGGAATGTGAACTCGATGTCTAACAAGACTGACGACCTGACTGCACTGAACAACCTGCAAATTTAGAGAGCGGCCTGCTGATTTCACCAAGAAAAGGCTAAACCACCTCGTAGCGGAAGGTAATGTGGACCTCCTGAGATTCACTGCAGTGAGAGCCGACAGAGACACCAAAGCTAGTGGGGCCTGATCATGTTTATCAACCACCGCTGGTGTAACTCAGGACATACCTCTGTAAAGACTGTGTTATGCTGCCGGGACCTCGAGCTGTTAGCCGTTGGCATGCAGCCATATTATCTGCCGAGGGAATTCCGTCACATGACTGTGCTTACATTCCCCCCAAGAGCTGCTCAGCCACTGAATGTGAGGAGATACACGCTGCCACAGCCTGACTACAAAATCAGAACCTTATTACATTTCTAATCATTTTGGGTGACTTTAACCATGCAACCTTGGACTCTTTGTCCATTTTCCATCAAGGTGTTGAAACAAACTGAGCTAAGAGATAAACTGAATAGAATGGGAGTGGACCCCCGCCTGGTGGCATGGATCTCCAGCTACCTCACAGACAGGCCACAGTATGTCAGGCTGAAAGACACAATCTCTGAAACTGATCAGCAGCACTGGAGACCCCCCAGAGCAGAGTGCTGGGCCCTGTCCTCTTAACCTTATACACCTCTGACTTCTGTTACAACTCTGAGCTGTGTCACGTACAGAAGTACGAAGATGACACCGCCATTGTGGATTGTATCAGTGACAACAGAGAGGTGGGGGACTTTGCCACCTGGTGCCGCACCAACCACCTAGAAGTAACATCTCCAGAAAAATGAGCTGGTCATAGACTATGGGAGGAATGGACCAAAGACTAAGCCCGTACTACTGGAGGGGGCTGAGGTGGAAGCTGTGGATTCATACAAATACCTTTGGGTGTGGCTGGATAGTAAACTGGACTGGTCAAACACTCACCAACCAGCTGCACAGGAAGACTAGGGGCAGGATGTACTTCCTGAGGAGACTGAGGTCGTTGAAAATCTGCAATAAGCTGCTCGAGAAGTTCTACCAGCCTGTGGTTGCCAGTGTCCTCTTCTACACTGTGCGGGGGGAGCAGCACATCCATGAAGGACACATCCAGACTGAACAAACTGGTGAGGCAAGCCGGCTTTGTGATTGGCAAGAAGCTGGACCCTCTGAGGACGGTGGTAGAGACAAGGACGCTTAAACTGCTGGACATTATGAACAATGCAAGCCATCATCTTTACCACTCAGAGGAGCCTGATCAGTGGGAGAGACTGTTGAACTCCTTTGTTCTTCAAGCCACCAAGCTGTACAACTCCTCCCTTAGGGGAAGGAGGAGGTGATAGGAGCAGGGACAAGGGTCAGCACCCCCCTCCTTGGACATCTTACGTAAAACATCACCTATTGTCACTCATGTGCAATATTCTTCTCTCTCACTGTGCAATAACACATGCCAACTACTATGTAGTCTTCCCTTAGCTCTCTACTGTGCAGATATTTTCTATATCTCAGGGAAACGTACTCTAGGACATTACAACTTTTTTTTTCTTTTTTAATGCTTTTTTGTACTATATGCACTCTTTTTATATTGTCTGTCATTTTGTTATCTTTAATGGCATTTCGCTTTAACTCTTTGTACTCTATGTAAGCTACCAGAACCAGAATTTCCCTGAAGGAGTAATCCCAAGGGATATAATAAAGTTAAGTCTAATTTACAGTAACATCAAATACACAGGGACTATTTGCACTACATATATTAGTAAAGTGGTTCTCCTTCTCTCCATTTGGGCTCACAGACTGAAAAAAGGTAAAGACCCTTCCTTTTCCATCCCGACATTGGTTAAACATGAAAAAGATAAAAACATAAGAGGCAGCCCAGACTTACGAGGTGTTGTATCTAATCTTCCTCCTCCTCTTGCCCGTGTCCAACACCTCTCCCACCTCCAGCACCTCTTTGGACCGACCCGTTTTCTCCAGAGCCTCCTGCAGCTCCGTAGTCAGAATCTTACACACTGACACACAGAGACAAGTAAAAAACCCTTTAGATACTGATTAGAGACTCATGAAATGGACACTTTTACAGATTGCAGATCTGCTGCAATCAATCAGTGCTCAGCTGTTTTCTTTTTTTCCTCTTCTTCTTATTGTAAGCTTTTATGGTGGTTGGCAAACTAGTTAAAGTGCATTACCGCCACAAACTGATAAGGAGTTAAATGAGGAAACAGGAAACAAGACTCAACCCTGAAAAAAAATATATAGTTTTCTAAGCTGTATGTTTTAACCCAACATAATGAAATGCATAATCAAATTCATCCTCATAACTACAAGTTTGTCTTTAGGCTTATGTCACTCTGCCGCTTTCTGATGGTCATATTTGTTTTCCCATCACACTTTCAACCGTTTCCCAGTTTAAATCTCTAACTTCAAGATAGTTTTCTGCAGCTTTCACTATTATTTAATTTGTTTTTTCAGTTTTCTTTGTCATCTGAGCAGTACAATTGATCACTTCTACCATAAAAAGTACAAAATCCTTTTAACAATCATTGAATTTTCTGAAAAACAGGACACTGCATGGTTTTGAACTTGTCATTTGCTTAACTGTTGGATTGGGTCTTTCTGACTGGGATGGGATTCCCTTTGCAGCTTCAGCATAATTTATTCCAAGCTCTAATTTCACTTTTCTGATCTCTTCAGATCTTTTGCTCACTTCCCATCCGTGATAAGCAGCAGTAAGATAAGATAAGATAAGATAATCCTTTATTTGTCCCACAGTGGGGAAATTGCAGCGTTGCATCACAGTACAGTAGGAAAAAAGAAGAAGAAGAATACAAAGTATAAAAAAAAAATATATATATATATATATATATATACACACATTAAGTATATACAGACAGACAAGGCAACACTGGTATAAAGTGACAACAGTAAAGTTCTGTGCAAATGATTGATTGTATTAAATTATTGCAGATTTAAATAGGTATGAGTGATGTATACAATAGATATGCAATAATAACAGGTAAAGTGACGGTGGACATATGGTTGATACGGAGCTAGCATTGTTGGTTGTACAGTCTGACAGCAGCGGGAAGAAAGGATCTGCGGAATCTCTCCTTTATACAGCGAGGGTGTATCAGTCTTTCACTGAAGCTGCTCTCCAGAGCAGAGAGAGTGTCCTTCAGGGGGTGGTCCTCATGGTCCAGCATAGACATGAGTTTGGACAGGGCCCTCCTGTCCCCCACCTGCTGTACAGAGTCCAGAGGACAGCCCAGGACTGAGCTGGACCTCTTGATGATCTTGTCTAGTTTTTTTCTGTCCCTCTCCGTAATGCTGTTGCCCCAGCTGGCCACACTGTACAGGATGGCTGATGACCTCCACCATAGTTACAGCATATAATTTTAACTTCTTCATCACACTTTCTACATTCATGCTCTCCAGCATCAGTTTGCCCTTACATTCGGCTGCTATATGACCAAATATTTGGCATTTGAAACATCTCAGAGGCGGAGGATTGAACATTTTGACATTGTAGCTCATATATCCAATGAAAACCTTGCTGGGTAACTGCTCTTCTTCAAATTAGATCAGTAATGATAAGCTGTCACACCTTTCTCCATTTCTTTTAGTTTTTCAATGTTTCGCTTCTTTTACTTTTGCACATCTTATGTTTTCTAGAATCTCTCTGTCAGATACTTTTAGAGGAACAAGAGGAGCACTAAACTCTTTTCCCCTCAATTTTTGTTAATCCGTATAGTTTTGCCTTTCTGAGCGCTGTCTCTGCAGTTGATTAATAGGCCTCCACTGTACAGTATTCTACATTGCAGTGTCCATATAATCTGTAAAACTTTATGCATAATTATAATAAAGCTATTTATATGCATAAATCAAGCGGAACACTATGGGGATAGCCGTACTGCTCTATTTGTGATAGTAAAATCTGTTGGGCTCTTTTTGGCATCAAGACAATTACTCTTATTGCCATAACACCAGACAGGAACCTGTTAAAATAAAAATTTAATAAAAAAAAGGACAACCCTGCATTGTGTCAACTTTAAGTTGCACCTACTATGTCCTACAAACATATGCATATCGGTGTAACAAGTTCAAACCTGCCTACTGCACTATAAAGGATAGAATATTCACATGTACCTTTATCAAATAAAAGGCAAATGGTAACAGTGACAGTTTTTGTGGAAAACAAATCTAAGCTCATGATTTACTCTTTTAACCAGGTATACAGAAAATAAAGTTTTTACCTTGATCAGTAAAAAAAAAAAAAAATATATATATATATATGTATATCTTCCTTGCATTTTTAATTGTTTTTATCATCATTGCCGGCTGCCTTTTATATCCAAGAAGATTTTGTATATTCTGAGTTTTTTTTATACTTTAAATGCTTTATTTCGAGGTTTAATCACATTTCCACATGCCTCTATCCACTATGGTACAATTTTCTTTTTATGTTTCCCTTCTTTCAGATTTGTTGACTGTTTAGCAGCTTCTTTAGCTGACCCTTTATATTTTGATGAATATTAATTGTCTTTAAATGACTTCAGTAATCATTCTAAATTTCTCTTCCATATTCAATCCTAATTCTATCACTGTATCATAATGACCCCTTCCTATTGTTTCATTTTCCTAATATTTATTAGTGTACCATTCCCATCATTTAAACATATTAGATTGTTTATATCAATCATTTCTTCTATTACTTCTCCATTACTATCATTTTGACTTCCCCATAAAGTGCTATGTGCATTTACATCTCCACAACATATAATCGTCCCCTTTAAATTTTCTGTCAACTCCCTTAATAACTCTAAAGATAACTTTTTACATGCATTATAAAAATTAACTATCTTCACAGCCCCAGTTTTACACCAGTTTTTTTTTTTCTCTGCATACCTTCACATTTATTAGGCAGCCTCTCGTCTTCACTCCCTGCAGCAAAGCCACATGCAAAAACCACAGCCAGAATAAACGCTTTCATTTTGAATACCTGATTAAAAAGGAGAGATTAGAAGGTTAGAGTCTTGTTTTGGCCACATCGGAATCTTTATTGAACGCTCTACTGCGCATGCGCGCTGGATCGGGGCAGACTCGATCAGTCGATAGCTGCTGCCTCGATGAGAAAAAGGGAGATGTTTGTTCAAAATGCACAAGTAGAGAATATGAATATGAAAATAAAGAAAGTGTCAAGTTGAAAAACAAAATAAGAGATATTTAATCATATTTGGATTAATGGTAGGGGGAAAAAAATGCATGCTGAAAGAACATAAAATCAATTTCTACAACTTAATTTTTTTTAATGAGAACTTAGAATAATAATAATATTTTTTTTTTAACCAAGAATATGTTTTATAAGCTTAATAAAATGTTAATTCCAGTCTTAATCTGTGTATGCCATTGCTAACTCTGAGCCTTCAGTAAATGTGATCCATTAGTTGGTAACTGTGAGCAGGGGCGAAACTAGATGGGGGCCAGCCCCACCATTAGCCAATCATTGGCCACCCCTACCATTTTATTCCCTCTGATACAGACGGTGGCAGCAGTAATACTCTCAGGTGGAATATTCAAAACATTTGAATTCTTTGTGGTTAATTATGCACATCAATATACTAACATTAAAGATGATAAGTACAGAATTCATGGTCTTTTCAGAACTACATTTGGCGTTATATGGGGTAAATAAAATGATGTCTCTGCAAGTGATCTAGGAGTCTTTATTGAAATCATAGATAAATAACAATTTTAATAAGAACTTAAATAATAAATTTTTGTAGATATTAGTACTTATAGATATCTATTGTATGCAGAATTATTATTGATAAAAGTAGTTAAGTTATGACAATGGAAAAATGTTCGCCCCAGAACTCAAATATAAAATAATTTTATCCACTATACCTTTTATCAAGAATGCACGGATGTTTAAATTTATCCGTCTATTTGTTAGCAAAGGCTGTTGGAAAGTTTATTTTGTCTTTATTTAGAAAATATGGATGTTTTGCTTGTTCGTTTTCTGTAGGAACAGTGTAGATTCATCCTGAGGTTATTCGGCCACAGAGCTGACCTCTCACAATGAACACAGGGGTATTTAAGCACATAGGCTAGCCTATAAACAACAAGGAAGGGAGGGAGAAAACTAATGACAAAAAATAAATAAAGCTAGAAATCAAAGTCCAAACTAAACATAATAACTACAACACAAATATGAAACTAAGACATTTGAGTGTTTGACAGATTCTCCAGAGTCAAGCCCCCTAGTGTCAGCTGCTTGTTGGATTCCTCCACTTCCTTGTGTTACACCATAATTGCTCTTCCAGCTGGTTCATTCAACCTCAGCAAAATAAAAACACTTGGTTATCTTGAAGTACTGTCATAGGGTGTTTGATAAATGTGTGCACCGATATTAGCAAACATACTACAATAAAAAAGAGTAAATAATTGACACTGAAATAGTTGGAGGAACCGCAACAAAGCCCCACTCCCACAGACTGCCACTCTGGCACTGTGGGTTAAATGCGGAGTGAACTTAGTTGCGTTATACTTCTGACAGTGTGATGACAATAGAGCTGAATTTTGATTTTTTCTTCTAAAAACTGTAATAAAAAAAGAAAAAAAATACCCAAGGAACCTTTCAGTTCTGGTTTGAGTGCCAGCACACATCATCATGATACATTTTAGTATTATACCATTACAGGGGCCAATACCAGTACAGGTGCACTGGTCCCTGTTGGCTCCAGTCTAGAACCACCCAAGGCTAAAGCGAACTTATTGTCAAGACTACCCCATTACCTCCCTACTACAGTTCAGTTTCTCTTTATACGCCTACGTTTAATAAATGCAAGTCCAAGGTTTAACTTAAATTTACTCAAAAAACACAAGAATATGTTACATTAATTAAAAACATTGCAGCTAGGATAGAACAGAAATCCCTTTATTGTCCAACAATGGGGAAATTTAGGTGTTACAGCAGCAAATATGACAGCAAAAATGACCACAGACACGTGGTCCTTAAAACGTTGATAAAAAGAACAAAATAAGCGACAGAGCTATAAAATAAACAAAGTTGTACTGTACAGTGATTTTACAATATAAATACTGTGGAATCTGAAGAATAAATAATCAATATACGGTTGTGGACATTTTTATAGCAATGGTTATGTGAAAATAGCAGCAACACCAGAGATGTGCAAAAATGACAGCAGCATGTTATTAACTAACTAACACAGAAACTGTGAAAAAATCAGCATGAAAGTAGCAACTTATTGAGATTATTGGTAACAATGATGGTTATAGAGTCTTACAGCTGCTGGGAGGAAGGATCTCTGATAACGCTCCCTGGTGCATTTAGGGTGCAGCAGTCTGTCATTGATATTATACACAAATAATTCAAATTAAGTCCAAGGTTTAAGTTTTCAAATTTGCTGTAATTTACAGAACAATGAGCTTCAATTACTCAGTCAAATTAACTTTCAACATCTGGGTTTACTTGCTAAAAAGCTAGGAAAGAACAGAAGGTTATTATGCAGAGAATCTTTAAGATCCGAAAACAGCTGTAAATAAAATAAAAGGATGACCCCAAATCCCCCCTGAACAATTATACATGTTTCTCCATAAGTTGGTTATTACCAAAAGAAGAACAATAACCACAAATTTAACCATAACCCAAATTCTGAATCGATTTTACTTGTTTTTTTTTTTTATATGTGGATTACTTTGATTGTTGCAGAAATAATGAAGTGAATGTAAAGTTATAAATATTTGGATGTTGAGAGCTTCAGTATTTATTCCAGAGCCTATATTAAGGGGTCAGTTATTAAAATGAATAGAAGTCAGTCTTTTTTTATATTCTGGATATGATTCAATCGTTTAATGTCAGTTTGGTCCCTTTAAGTGTTTCCTAAAATAATCTCAGGCTAAAATTAGCTGCATGGCCTAATTTAGCTATTTCAGCACTTTTTGGTGTCTGCTGCTCAAACGTGTAAATTTTACATCCGATCAACATAACATTTGGCAGCGAGGCAGTTAAAGCATAAGGTGTCAGGCTCTTGGTTTCTCATGTGACAGGGGCAGCACGCTCACCAGCAACCGATCCTTCAGGGGTGTGTGAGGGAGACACAGCAGAGAAGGGAAAACCTGAGGGCAGAAGGTGAGCTGGAGGCACCATGGCGAGATGAGGACTGGATGGATGAGACATCAGAAAGAAGATAGAGGCGTGGGCTCGAATACCTGACAGACCACCGGAAGGATAAGTAAGTGAAGCCAGAACTCTTAGAGAACACCCTCGTTTATGCTGAGGCGTGGACGTTTAGACGCAGATGTGTGAAGATAAAGTATCAGAAACATAAGATTAACAACAATAAGCATATATTTTATAGGTGTGAGGTTATTCCCAGCTGCAACTGTTATGTCATCCTGCCTGGTGACCATATGTCTGTTGTCTGTGTTGAGGGAGATTGAGTTACACAGAAACACCCCACCTTCACCTCACACACTAGAAACACTGAATAAATTGTGACTTAAACACAAAAGCTCAAACAAGGAAATAAGAAAATTCTAGTTTTACTCTTTTTATTTAAATTTACAGATAATAAATAAATTTTTATCATCTTAAGGCACCAAATGTGCTGGACAGGCTCTGAGGACAGGGTTGTTAGAAATGTTAAAGTCTTAAGTTACTCTTCTTCCATTAATTATGATATATAGGAGTAAAAAACTAGTGGGAGAAAATGTCCAAATGTCTTGCATCCTTCCAAGCTTCTTAGTCAATGTAATGTATAACAAAGAACAAGACAAGATGACATAAAATCCTTCATTATAAAAAAAATAAACTGCTGGCCATTAAATAGACATAGATGTCAAAGCTGGTTAAAATTATTCTTTTTCTTAATTAAATTGTTATGTTAAATTGTTAATGTTGTTTTGCAGGAGAATTCTTGGTTTACACAAGGTTAATATGTTTCTGTCAAGGCTCAGAACTGAGAACCCAGAATTCGAAGCAGACAGATAAGCGTGATTCACGAAATACGTCGGATCTGCAACTCAGCAACAAGGGCGTCAAAGGCCGGAATTTCTGTGTAGGGAAAACTCAGGTTAGTGACCACAATTACGAGCGTGAGTCGCAAACATGGTTTTAGAGTTCAGTCTGTGCCCAGAAGAAGGAGTGGAATCCAGCCGGATAGTATACAACAGCACACAGCAAACGCCGCCAGGAGCAGGAGTCTGAAGGCTGCTGAACTGGCTGACATTCAGATCCAAGCGGACGAAGGAAAGTGGGACTTTTCGGAAGACGAAGCCAAAGCCGGTGTCGAAGAGTTTAACAGGAGTCCAGACCAGAAGATCAAAGATCCGAAGAGGTACCGACGGGAAATCCAAATCGAAGTCAAGAGTCAGGTCCAGGTTCAGTCCACAGGCAGAAACCAGCAGGAGTCCAAAGACAGATCAGGCAAACAAATACGAAGCAGGAATGGGCGGGCTCAAAAGTCAAAGGGCAGAACTGGTCTGGATCAGCCAATCAGAACAACAAAAGGTGCGCTAGAGAACTCTCAACAAAGGCTCAAATAATCTGGCACTGATGACTGGGATAAAGCAGCTTAAATACAGGCAGGAGTGGGTTAATAAGATCAACAGTGATGATAAACTGGGTGGAGCTAGGCAGGTGAATGGAAGAACCATTAAGCAAGTCACCAATGCCAAGGTCATGATAGTTTCTGATATAATTGTTATTAGCAATTGCTAATCAATTTGCTGGGTTTAATGAAGAAACTGCAAAAACTTAAACATGCTCTTCCTTTGTAATATCTTATTATCAGGTAAACTACATAAGCCAAGTTTTTTCGGGGTCAAATATGAGACTGTCTGCTTGGCAGCTTAAACTTACTCCAAATGGGTCACCAACAGAACAATGATATCAAGCCCAGCAGCCAATCTGAGGAGAAATGTATTTCAAACTTTGGATCTGCATGCTTTAAGATCTTTTTTATTAGTTTTTTTTTTGTAACGTTTTAAAGAAATTATTGCACAAATCCTAGATGCAGTTATCTTTAAAATCATTCATATACATATACATATACATATATCACACATTTAGGTTTAAAGTATCTAATAAGGTGGTAATAGTTGCAAAGAAATATGCTTTGCAAATACTTTTTTTGTGAAAATGTGAAAAAATAAAATTCATTGGGATGCCTTCCAAACTTAAAGACCTGGAACAAAAGGATAAATCAACAAAAAAAAAAACATGCAAGGGGAAGCATGCAAACTTTTTTGACAAGCATTTCTTTAATCAAAATAGCCAATAGCCAATACCTGATGCTATTTTTTTATAATTATATATTAATATTTCCTTTTTTGTTATTATTTTTTCCTGCAGGCTGCTCCATCTGTCTGCTCTGAATTTCATCCTGAGCACAGTGACAGAAGCGATGTGACTCCAAACAGAGCTCAGACTTTTTTGCTGGCATGCCCCCCCACAGCTTTTCATGCTATTACCTTAAGTAAGCACACACATTTACATATGCAATATTTACCAATGCAGCTCAAAGATTACTAATACATGAACGTCCAACAGATATTTCCAACAGCTGTACATTATGTTGGAGGAATTTAAGCAAAATATGTTCAGTTTTTTTTTTTTTTTTACTTTTCTGTGAGCCTTTCATTTTCCTTAATACATATTGCTTAGCAAAGAAAGATTCTAAGTTATTCCCCCACTTTCAGTCTTTATTTTCAGTGATAAAGATCACTACAATGATAATCCCGGTAAGAAAGCAACAACAACAAGGATCCACAAAAAAAAAAAAACATTCAACCTAACTTCCTGAGTGAAAGCTACATTTCATAGTAGTGCACAAGCATACGCATGTTGCAAGTGTTATTACATGCTGCTGTAATTAGATGCATTTCAGCTGTTGGCTACGATGTCTGTGGGAATGAAGTACCCCAACAACACATTATCAAACTTTATTATTTCCAAATGTACTTTGGAAAATCAAAGACTTACTAGTGACGGTTGTTAAGGATAGAAATCTCTGTCTTTGTACAGAAGACAAAACATCCATCCATCCATTTTCTCCCACTCCAGCCTTCATGGTCACAGTGGGGCGGGTGCCTATCTCCAGCATCTATGAGTGAAAGGCAGGGTACACCCTGGACACGTCACAAGTCCATCACAGAGAATCACATAGATACAACCTTGCACAAACACTAAGGACCTAAGGACACTAAGGACCAATTAGAGATGTAAATTAACCTATCAGTCATCTTTTTGGGAGGAAGCCTGAGTGCCAAGAGAGAACTCATACATGCATGGAGAGAACGTGCAAACTCCATGCAGAGAGACACTGGGCCGGGATTTAAACCCAGAACCTTCTAGCTGCAAAGCAACAGTGCTACAGACTGTGGCCCCGTGCAGCCAAAATATTTAAACAAAACACAGTGTAACACAGTGTAACTAAGACAGACTTAAAGCATCATAAAAGTCCCTAACTGAACCTGGTTTGACTTTCTTATTGTTTTACAGACCTTTTAAAGCAAACCAGCAGCTAACACACTACAGAGGTATTAACTTTCTATGGATTTCCTCACAAAATTATAAATTTAGGCCTAAATATATACATACAGCCAAACTCATATTAGTTTAAATGCTCCTCAGCAAGTTACACACCAACAGTCAATCAGGTTATTACATTTTTAATTAGAAAATTTATCCCTTTTTAACCATAATTAGGAAACAAAATTCATATTATTGTTCCACTCGTAGGCTGGATGGTGGTGCAGTTTGTAGCAATGTTGCCCTGCAACAAGAAGGTCCTAGGTTAGGTCCAGGCTAAGGTTCTTTCTGCATGGAGATTGTATGTTCTCCCCGTGCATCAGTGGGTTCTCTCTGGGTACTCCAAAGTCCAAAAAACATGACTGTTTGGATAAATGATATCTAAAAAAATATCCTTAGGTGTGTGTGCGAGCATGTTTGAATGTCTCTGTGTTGCCCTGGCAACCTGTCCATGTTGTACCCCAGTTTACCCCAATGGACAGGTGGAAACATAGTCAACAGCCACACCATGACCCTGATGGCTAAGCATGAGAATATGGAGGAATGCTTTCCCCGATAGTGATCCTACCATTAAGCATAATATATTGTGTATTTTGGTTGGCTAATGTTAGCCTGCTTTATCAATCCCAAATCCAATTAATCCAATCTAGTTTCCACCATTTTACCTCAACTATCAATTTCAATTGAAAGGGAGTTTGGTGCAATACCTCAAGAATCAGCTACTGGATCACCAGTGTCAAAGAATCAAGAGAAAAGCTCCTCCTGAAGATTTGTAACTCTCTTCTTTTCCAAATAGGCTATCCTTTTATCATTGCCTTTCCACCTTTATTTCAGTCATTTGATCTGAGAATGCTGGAAGCAGTGAATGACTTCCAGGGACAGAGCTTCAACAAGCTGAGGCGCTCCTGCCTGCGTCGAGGAGCGCTCTTTAAAGACCCATTGTTTCCCGCCACCAACCAATCCTTATTCTATAAGAGGGCACCCCCACCTGGAGTGACTTGGAAGAGGCCGAAGGTGAGTTTGACATGGACTAAAAGTCTCCAAAAATAACTCAAACCTTTTTTAGCAAATGCTTGGCTCCTAATTTGATAAATTCATCACTTCTCATCCCTGATCTAAATTAAGATGTAGCTTCAGCATACTGTATTTCAACGGAGGGGATTAATTAAAGCACTTTCTATAATTAGAGAGGTTGTCAGGCAGTGAAACAGTATCCCTCAGAGGAGATGTAGATGGAGAGTCATATCAGTGAGTTTCTAGTGTCTACAGTTGTGCTGAGAAAACTGTGCTCTCAAAAAGCTGCAGTGGTGTAAATAGACTGGCTGTTTTTATCACAGTGCACTGATGTGTTCAGTCACATGGTCAAACCAACCATTTTTACTTGAACAAAAGCCCCAAATTTTCACAACAGTGTATTACAGGTTTATTGTGATTTAATGGTCAACAATGGGTGTTTTATTTGAGTGGTTCAGGTGTACGTGTTCAAATTTTATATTTCTTTCTAGTCATTGTTTATATATAAAGTCAGGAATTTTATTCTAGAGTTTTGAAAGTTGGACTGCACGGTGGGGCATGGTTGATATTGTTGCCGTGTAGCAGCATGGTCCTGGATCAAACTCCATGCAGAAAAAAAAAACATCGAAGGGATTCAGATCAAGCCCCTGCATGCATAGGTGCCCTCCGGGTACTCTGACTTCCTCCTACAATCCAAACTATACAAGCTGGCTCTATGTAATGATGTCATTTATTTTAGTTCTTTAATATTTGTTGCAAAACCATCTCAGTGCTGCTTTAAGTGGTTGAAAGTTCGCTATGGCAGTTGAGTTTTCATCGTGGTTCAAGCGCGGCAGGTGTTGGTACAGGTCTACGTCAGTCGGACAGACTCACCATATCCCATATTCAGCTCCCTCAGGCACATCCCTCACTAGCGTGTCATCCTGTCTTCTGTGGGCTCGGCAGTATTGGCTTTGCAAATAGCTAAGTCAGCACCTCAAACTGATAAGGCCTCAGCCCACTGGGCTCCTAAAAGCCTACGTTGGTCTCCAAGATTAAAAGAGACTTTATTGGTCACCCGCCTGGAACAGCACACCAGTGGGGCGAAATTTCCATTTCAGCTTATCCAGAGATAGTGTCTGAGGCCTTCCTGCCGTCAAAGGCTCTGCCCTCCAGAATCAAAAGGGGGAAAAATATTACACCTCAAAATATCTATCAGTGGCATAACTATTAGCATCGCTCTGCTTAATGTCCATGCTTCAATAAGGCTATTGGCTAAGCTGGCTGCCACTGTCTCATTCTGACCACACCCCCGTTAAACCTCCACTGCTCATCCACATTTAGCCCTATCCCTCCACTTCTCCTTAAAAAGATCACATTGGTGGCATTTGGCAAACAATATTTGCTTCCCAAAGTTGGTCCAATATGCATTTTCTAACTTGGACCTTCTTTCCTTTCTCATCTATTTAGGAAATATGCAAAGACCCTCGTTTGTTTGTGGATGGTATCAGCACTCGTGACTTGCACCAAGGCAGTCTGGGTAACTGCTGGATGGTGGCAGCCATTTCCTGCCTGGCATCTGAGCCGTCATTGTGGAAGAAGGTTCTCCCTTCAGACTTGCTTCTGTTTTATCTCGATCTCCCACCTCTACCCTTTCCTCTAATGTTAACTTTCATTCCCTTTGCTTCTCCCCATTCAAGGTCATTCCTGACCACGTGGATCAGGAATGGAACCCAAAGCGCCCAGACTTGTATGCAGGGATCTTCCATTTTAGGTTTTGGCGCTTTGGAAATTGGGTGGATGTTGTGGTGGATGACCGTTTGCCGGTCAATCAGGATGGAGTCCTGCTCTTCTGTCGCTCAGCAACACCAAGAGAGTTTTGGAGCGCTCTGTTGGAGAAAGCCTACGCCAAGTAAGCAGAAGTAGAAAAACCATATCTAATGGACCGGGAGAGTTTTCTACTCTTAAATGTGATTAAATCTCTTACTTTCCCATATTTCCCCTCATATGGATATGAAAATTAAAGTTTTTAAAGCCTGGCAGCTATCTTTGTTCTTAAAAATCAACACTGCCTATAGTGCAATGGTAACTGATGGTCAATGATTTATAATAAAGGAGCAAGAACCCATTAAGGTTTGAGCCATCAACTTAATTTGAAGGTATTGTAGACGATTTTACTGAATTTTTTAAGACACTGTGTTTAAAAAAAAAAGCACATGCACAACCCTGTACCCACTCCTGTACGCTCTCGCTGTTCTCATAGATCATACAAACCTACCGTGCCTGAATGTCTGCCCTAACCCCTTAGTCCCTCAATCACTATATAGAGCGGGGACTATATAGTGGACTTTATAATCAACTTAGTTAAGTGACCATTCGGACAGATGGTCACCACTTTTTGCTCCCCATTGGTCATGTAACTCCTCCTCCGCTGCGCGGGGCCTGCACCATCTTAAAGCTACAGTGTGTAATTTTCAGCGACATCTAGCGGTCAGACTGCAGACTGCAGCAACATGAACGTCTCCCCCCCACCGCTTCTCCCCCCCAACAGTACGGCGAGCGTTACGGGACAAAATGTCTTCCACGACGTCGGAATCACCTACCTTCTCAAGTGATGAGGTTTGTTTACATAGATCATTTTACAGATAGTATTTCATTAGTCTGTTTAGGGTATAGATTTCATGTAGACTTAAGATAATAAATATACCCATTATTTTTTCTACGTCGTTGTGACGTTTTGGTGAGCTGCTTTGCATGGTGATATAAACAGACGAAGTAATTGTAGTCATTAGTTTAACGGCGAGATTGTGTTCGCTGGAAGAATATATATTCCCCGTTTACAGAGTCCAAGTCTTGTTTGTGGCACGGGGGTTACAAGGCAAGGAAGAGGGAGAGGAAGAGGGCAGAGAGGCCGGGGTGGGCATGCAGCTAGGGCCAGGCGAGGGAGGGGAGCCAGCGGGGTGAGAGCAGAGGAGGAAAGGCTTGAAGATCTCCAAAGGAGCCGGAGAGAAGTAACCGAGGTATATATCCAGAAAATTATTTTACAGAAAATTACTGAATCATTACCTGTGAAACGTCAGTGCTTACCTGTGCTGAATAAGTATACTGGAGAGTAACAGCATCATCACGCAGCATGTTATTGTTTTAGACAGGTCTGAGCATCCTGTACTCCAAAAACTGCAGTGATATTAGACAATTGTGTGTGTAGGATTAATTACCTGTCCAAGAGAAAACTGGCAACTTGAGCGTCACTTTGAAAACCTTTTTCCTCCACCAGTGACTTCCATCGTGGAAATGCCGTGCCAATGTTGATCCGTGTTTTTTGTCGTTTCTTGTCACGCTTGCGTTTATTCTCGTCGTGTTTCCGCTTCTTAGATGACGGGGGTTCGGTGTCCGCCGCTTTTCGTTGTGATACAGAGTAGGCATGATCCTCCATTCGTCTGATGTTTGGCCAAACAGTTTGCAAAGTCACTCACGCCTGCCGCCTTGTTCACCTTTCTTGTTACTGAGGCGCAGTATACCTGCTTCTTCTTCTTCTTTGGTTTCAGGCAGACTAAACGCTTCTCAGGCATAATACTGCCATCTATTGTTCAGTACCGTCTCAGTTCATCTCTCTCAACTTGCCGTAGTTATTTTCGAGCGTAATGGGAGATCTCGCAATCGCTAGTTTGTTGCCTCTGCGCTTGCCGTAGCGCAAAGATGTCTGCCTCCATGGCTGCGAGACCCGCTCCTATGTAATTATAAATAACGAATTCTAAGGCAGCGCAAATATTATGGTTAAAAGGCTGAGCTCATAGGTGATGATAAATAACATAGTTATGTATAATATATTAAATTTCTGACTTTATATGCCTGTAATTATTACACACTGTAGCTTTAAATGTTACATCCCCGCTGCTGGGTAGTGACAGCCTTTGGCAACAGCGGGCGGCTGTGACAGCAAAATCCCATAATGCTTTCAGAGGAGAGCTGAAACCGATACACAGATATACGCCTGACAATGTGCATGCGCACAAATAGATAGCTGATTTTCAGACAAGCACGTAGGAACAGCCTTACGTAAACATATCATCAGAATGATTGACGATGAAGAGAAGCACTTATTTTGATGATCTAATCAGAAATAAAAGATCCTCCTCTATACCTTTAAAAAATGTAGGAAATTAACTCTGAGCAAGAATCAATTCATCTGAACTGAGTTTAGAACTAGTTCTTCTTAGAAACGAACTTGTTTAAAGTAGGCCAGCTATACATTTTCTAGATCAGCTGGAAATAAGAGCTAGCATCTTGGACTAGCGTGACATCTTTAGGAGAAACCTTTATGGTAAATGCCGACAAAAACATTTTAGAATATTCTATCACAATAGGAAAAAGGATAAGTTGGAGAAGTCTGTGCAAAATACTGCTAACTAGTGTTGCGCCGATGCCATTTTTTGGCCCCAATACCGATACCCGATACCTGGCTGTGCAGTATCGGCCAATACCGATACCATAATAATGTAAAATAATTGCCATCATGGCTTTGTCAAGCCGCTGCCTACCTTTGTGAAGCAGGAAAAAATCTAATACAAAGTGAATCCAGTAGAACTTTTTATTGCCTACCAGGAATGGGTGATAATAGTTGAATAAACTTATGGCTCTCAAAATGGTATCGGTGCCCTATTTGTTGGTACTCGACGATACCGATACCACCATTTTAGGGCAGTATCGGTATCGGTGCATCACTACTGCTAACATGAAAGCAGGCCTCATAGAAACATCCACAATTTTTTTTAGTTTATGAATCTTAAAGTAGCCTATCATTTCACTTCTGGAATGATCATCCTACAGAGAATTAAAAAAGTATTGGCAAACCAAGCACTTAAGTGGAATTTGGCTAGAAATATGTGTGTAAAATTGAGCCTGTATGTATAATTGTGAACCTTTGATGATTAGGGAAAATCCACAACATTTAAACTGCAAAAGATGGACTTTTGTGTATCTTTAAATAATTATTCAGAACTATTACAAATCTACAAACTTTCTCATAAATTAATTAAATGAAATTTGGAAATTGATTAATTTATCTCAAGCAGGGCTCACTGAACCAGTTTGATTTCAGATTAAATGGCTGCTATGAGGCTTTAGAGGGAGGAAACACTGCAGAGGCCCTCATCGACTTCACTGGAGGGGTTTCAGAGCCTCTCAGCCTGGACTGTGAGGCCCTCAGCATGCACAGAGAGCAGAGGAAGGCACTCTTCCAGACATTAGCTAAAGTCCATGAGCACAAATCCCTCATCACCTGTTCCATCCGGGTAGGGCTTTTTTATCCTGCGGTTCTTCAAAGTTCAGAATTTATACTGTCCTACATTTTCAGTTTGCTTCACATTTGTCAGCCAGCAGAGGGGGAGACAGTGGAGTCGGTGTTGGACTGTGGGCTCGTACGTGGGCATGCCTATGGCATCACAGCAGTGAGGAAGGTGAGGCTGGGGGAGAATCTGCTGAGGACAGACGGGACGTCCCGTCTCTTTATGGTGCGCATGAGGAACCCGTGGGGGACCACGGACTGGAAGGGGGCCTGGAGTCAGGGGTGAGAACACTTTGAAAACTTTTCTTCTGACTGCTGAAAACGCTTTGTTGGAGCGTTAGGAATAAACCCTCAACGTTTACAGCGTTTTACAATGCCACTGCAACTTTTCTGGACAATTTCAGATGTTTTACAGCAGTTATGGAAAAGTTTTATAAGGAAACATCTGTTGTTTACATTATGAAAGTCTGAGAAACTCTGGAAATGGCCACCAAGGACCAGTAAAGCTTTCCAGAAGTTAAAACACTACTTGTTTATTTCTTATGCTCTGTCAACGTTTTCACAGTCAGGCTCATCTATAGCACCTTGCAAATGTATTCACACTCCTCGGATCTTTTCTCTTTTTGTCACAGTATACATATACAGTATATAATTTATTGTTTTTATTGTGATCTTATGTGATAGATTATCATACAGCAGGGCATATAAGTATATAATTAAAAGTAATTCAGGTTTCACTGTCTTAATATCTTGTAAAAACACCTTTGATTGCAGTCACAGCCAGAGATCTGCTTGGGTGTCTTCAACTGCTTCGTACATTTAAAGACTAAAATTGTTGCTCATTCGTTTCTGCAAAATACAGCTCAGATTGGTCAGGTTGGACCGATACAGTCAGTCAATATACATTTTTTTAATACACATCACAGCTACTTCAATGGATTTCTTTCTTAACTTTATTTAGGTCATTTAACATATCAAGTGTTTTCATATATATTAGTCCATTGACACCAATACGGTATATTTAGTTTTGTCCTGATCTATGAGATAAAATGTAATAGGTTTCTATCAAATGTCTGTACGAAAACAGAAATTATTACAGACACTAAACAACATATACAATTTATAAATACAATCATGTCTTGAATCTTATAACAAATAGGCAGAAAGTTCACATGATAAAAGCTTAAACGATTGAAGATCTTATCAAAGTCAGATATTACATTTTTTTTCCATAAATAAAGATTTTTTCATCCTGCGCTCAGTAAGGATGTTCTCACCTCTTTGTTTTTTTCTTATTTATTTAATCATAACCACAGCACACCTTGTTTTTCCATGATTCAGTGCATACTCGATGGCGCATACCATGATAAAATTATGGTGGTGTTACTTTACTAAACAGAAGCTTTTTTTACACTTTAACCTCAGTTTCTGTGACAGTCCATTAGAAGATGTTCATTTTTAATAACTGGACATGATTTGACATTTCTCTGTACCCACATAGCATATTTATAAAACTGTACCTTGCAGAGGAAACACAGTTGGAGATATTAATCATCATGTCTTAAACCCTTCAGTAATTAAAATTTAGGTTTGTTGATATAAATTTAGACTTGACAGCACGTGCAAAGCTTTTCTACATACTAGGAGAAGCCAGAAATGTGACATGAGCAAAATAGGTTTAAGACATTTAGCATGTTGAGTTTCATGATTTTGCGGATCATATGTGCATAATCAAAACAAAATTGTCTACTGTTACAGGAAGGAGGGATTGGTACAATGAGAAACAGGAGAATAACATGCAAAAGATGTTACCCTCTTGCACCTTGGCATTTGTAATCTTAGTTAGGGATGTCCCTATCTGATAATAATATGAAAACTGGTCCAATATCAGACATACTTTTAGTGTAAGTAGATATTGACCTGCATGCTTCTAGAAATGCCCAGCTTACTTACGCTTCTTCTTAAAGTTTCTGTAACCACTGTATTCATAATATATTGGTTAGTTGTTCTTATACTTATTGTTGTTAACTATTTTTCTCTGAGTAATATAACTTGATTCTTTTCTAGCACTCCACCTTAAAAAATTAGTAAGAAAAGTATTTGTGTTAATATCTAGGTCAAAGACCCAGTATCAATATCATATTGTAATCTTCACCACGTCTGCACCCGTTATCAATATGCAGACAGTCTCAGTAGATTCAGCCAAATCATGCCCACTAACTGCACACATGCAGTTTTTTTTTAACATTTCCACAAGCAAACGTTTGGTCTGATTGTTGAAGATCTAAGACTGCCTCCAGCAATAGATCATCTTTCAGCATTGCCCTGTATTTAGCTCCATACATTGTCCTGAATAAAATAAAGAATAACCTAAGCATGATGCTGCCACTTCCATACCTTCCAACAGGGATGATGTGTTCAGGATTATGTACAGTGTTAATTTTCTTTTTTATGTGTTGATAAAATAGTCCCAGAAAAATAATTATATATATATATATATATATATATATATATATATATATATATATATATATATATATATATATATATATATATATATATATATATATATATATATTTTTTTTTTTTTTTTTTTTTTTTTTTTTTAGGGGGGTCTGTGCACCGTTTTTTCCTACTCTTACTGATGCAGTGAATGTCAAACAATAACTGTAATAGACCTGTCATGAAATCCAAAAATAGTAACATTTTGAAGTAACTGACTGTAATTGGTAATGATGAATAAAGGGGAATAAATGCTTTTACCTAAATCCAACTGATAAAAGCTAATATTGTGTTGTTGCTGCACTCCCCCTGCAGGTCAGAGCAGTGGCAGCAGCTGAGCCGTGCAGAGAGGGAAAAGATGGGGATTGTTGTCCGAGATGTTGGGGAGTTCTGGTACCAGTTATCTAAATTAAAACACTAATATATATTTTTTTACTTACATAAGATTAATATTCTTTTCTCTAAAATTTCAAGAGAGTTCATGCTGATTTGTATCCAAACAGGATGGATTTCCAGGACTTCTGCTGCTACTTTACTGACGTGGTGGTGTGCAGGCTGGTGCAAAGGACTCTGCTGTGGCCGAGCTCTCATTGGAGAGAAACTCAAAGCTATGGGGAGTGGGCTTCAGCTCCAGCTGCTCCCACCACAGCACCTACTGCCATTAAGAGGTACAGCAGCACCACTCTGAATCTAAATACGATTAACAACAGGCCTGGAGGGACCAAGCAGAGAGGGAATGATGTAAGGGATGAAGGAAGGAAAAGAGAAGAGGAGATTGACAGGAAGAGTCGATGTGGGGGATGTATCAACCACAGGGACACCTTTCTGCACAATCCACAGGTAGATCTTATAATAAGACATGTCTAAACACAACCAAAATATAACAAAAGTATTCATGACGTTCTTTTTTAGTTCATGTTTGAGGTGCAGAGGAAGGAAGAAGAGGTGCTGATCTGTCTGCAGCAGCAGGATAGGAGGGTCTTAAAGAAAAATGGGGGAGGAGAAAACCTGCCCATAGGCTTTGAGGTGCTAAAGGTAGGCAGAAACACAGAAAGAAATGATCAACTGTTCTCTTTTCTTAAAATAGAATTCCCTCTTTAACCATCTCCAGGTGGAGGTAAACCGCTGCAGCAGGGTGCAGCATTTGGTGGAGCAGGCAGCCAGCTCCATCTACATGGACTCCCGCAGCGTGACTCTCAGAGGAACTTTGACCCCGGGTCGATACGTGGTGCTGCCAACCACCTTCCTGCCAGGCGATACTGGACGCTTCCTGCTGAGGCTATTCTCACACTCTCGTGTCCAACTCAGGTTAGCCAAAATGCCAAAAAAAAGTGCAAGTAATTAAGTAATTTCCCTATGGGATTTTTAAAGTATGTCTGATTCTGATTCTGAACAAACATAAGCTTCTGTGACCATAAATTTAGCATAACATTCACAGGAAGTTTGATTTATCTGATGTATAGCTTCCTACCAGAGGTAAACAATATCCTGGAAGTGACCCAGATGTACACGATTGGAACCAAGAGTCTGTCCTGCAGTTAATCTTGTTGGAGCAAAATATTTCTCACTGTAAAAAAAGAGATCCACAAAGTCAACACTGTATGTGTTAAACTTTTTAGTAGTATTTCTCGTGAAGAGCAGTGAACTTTCTGTTGTTTTGTTTGTTTTATTTTGATACAATGCATTATTTTTGTCTGCCTTCCCTCTTGTCCTATTCTGCTGTTTTGGTTGTTGTTTTTTTGTACATCCATTGATTTCTTCTATGCATTTACCCATATATATATATATATATATATATATATATATATATATATATATATATATATATATATATATATATATATATATATATATATATATATATATATATAAAAAAAACTAAGTGATACTTCTCACTAAGTATCACTTAGTTCTATTGCAAAATTCTCCTCAGGAGGAATTACACATGTACTATGTGACAACTAAAGAGAATATATATATATGATATACTATATTTGATTTCTTTTTTTTTCATCCATTAAAGTAAGAAAAAACATTGCTACACAGAGTATCAGTAAAAGAAAACATATTGCTACACAGAGTATCAGTAAACACAGAAAATAAAACCTTGAATATGTAAAACTTAAAACCAGAGGGTAAAGCAAAACCATAAATCCATTTAAGCACACAACAGATACACCATTTATTAGCCTGTAATGCTGGCATGAGAGAAGCATTGTTTTCCTTCCCAGAGATTCTGCATGGTTTGTTTATGGTTCCGTTTTCACTAATTATGTCTGTTCACAAAGGGAAGATTCAATACAACTGCCTGAATGTTCTGCTCATTATCCTGGTTCTGTTTTGGTTTTGTTAAAGGGAACTGAAGAACGACCTGCCATTGCCATCATTGTTCCAGTGTTTTCTACCTCAGCATGCAGTAGTCACCACAGTCCATCTCCGAAAAGCATCTGGACTCAGAGCCCCCAAACAGACAGGTGGCTTAACACATACATTTTAGCCATACATGCAGCCATCTAAGTCATGTTTTGTTACTTTGCGCCATATTTGTGTCTCTGGCCTACAGCTCCAGATGTTTACGCTGTGGTGCGATGTGAGGGCGACGTTGTCAGGACACGAGTGTTCAAAGAGGATGGAAACCCCGAATTCAACCTCCGAGCCATCTTCTACAGAAGATACCCTGACACTAACATTGCTGTCGAGGTTTGACCTGTTAAACTTCTCCAGCAACCGGACAGATCGATGCACAAACATTTAATCAATAAGTGTTTGACATTTTGACATGTTACACAGGAAAAACTGAACTTATACAGCCAGGGTCACTGAAGGTCATTTTGAACAGGAGGTGCTGTGAAATGTTTTTGGGGTTTTTTTTTGGATAAAAGACCTACAGTATATGAGCCTATAGGCATTTTAAAATACAATAAAAATAAAATGAGATTCACCACTTTATTGTCATATACCCTTCAGTGCACGCAAACAGGGTGTGTAACACACAGATATCATCAGTTAAAAGGTGAATATAGGCGCTATTTATTAAACTTCACATTAACAATGTAGATTTGTTCAGCAGGCATGAACCTGAGTCACTGTTTTTATTTCACATGTGACTCTATTAGCTCCAAAATCCTTTTACGCAAACCACAAGGAAATAATTATATTATTATACTATTTAAACGTTAACGAACAGTTCTTTCATGACCCCAGCAGGGATAAAGCATGAGAGAAAATGAATTAATGGATAAACAGTTTCTCACATCCATTACACAAAGAACCCGAGATCAAAATATCACTCTAAAATACTAGAAGATAAATTCTCTTATGAGTGGATGAATCATCAATGCGTTTCTTTGCCATATTTCCTTTTTTGTTTCTGTCATTAGATTATGTAATTTTACTAGTCTGCTGCCAGGAGCGGGATACCTCTCTTCTTAGAGACCAGCAGCTCTCTTGACGTTGCCATGACAACGTAACTTCAGTGAACTTGAGTTGATTAGGCCTTAAAATAATGAAATCAAAATCCAAATACGCATAAAAGTAAAATAAAAAAACTTAAAATCCTTTCCCGAAGTATTCATAAGAAATTTATAAATTGTGCAAAGATTTTCAATACATTTTTTTAAAATCTCCCTCTTGCCTTTAGGGCCCACTTCCCGCGACGATGTGATATCTCCTTGGCCTGTCACTAACTCCCGTGTATCACTTGAAATCCCAATAAAACACCATGAATTTGGGGTTTGTCTCTCAAGGCAAACAGGATATAAAAACAGTAACTGCATGTTTGTTTTTATATGTGCAGTTATGGAGCAGAGGTGTGCTGTGGGACTCTCTACTCGGAGAAGCCCGACTCCAGACGACGGAATCCGAGAAGAGCCGGAGCCTTGTGATTGACCTGCGTGGTGGGCGGATGGGTTTCAGACCAAGGGGCTGCATCCATTTGGAGACTTCCACCAGCATCTGCCTCACAGACTTGTGACAACATCTTCAGCGTTCCCATGGTAGTACCAAGATCAGCTGCGTGGACGAAGAAGCAAATATAAAGAAAAAGTATCTGTCAGGGAAATTAAATATACAGTAGTGAACCCTTTCATTGTGTTAAGAGTATTTTTTGGCTGCTATAAATTTTACAATTATTTTATCTTCCTATAAAATATGGTGCAATGACATCAATAGTTTTGTTTTTATTTTGATACAATAATAATTTTTTTTTATTTAAGGACATATATTCCAATGTATTAAAATAAAAAAAACCTTTTATGCATGTTTCTTTGAATCCATTTATTAACAGTAATTATGTTCAGAGCAAGTTCTACCCGTTGCATTGGTTGCAAAAGCTGCTCTTTAATTTCTAGCAAACTAAAGAAAATACTAATAAAGTCCAAGCTTTATCGAGAATAAATGAGTCATGAAAAAAAAGTTTTCTTTGTAGTGTGGTGTTTAAAATGATGATTCATGCTCAAGAAGTTATTTTGATAGGAGCTAGCAGAGCTGGCCCGCTCAGTAGGTGCAGTGAGCATAGACATTCATACGTAGACGCATCAATAGACGCTGTCTGCAGCGAGGCAGACGTGCCTAGAGAGAGTCCACCTTGGATCGGACCACAGTTCAGACTGTCAGGATTTGGTTATGGAGTGTTGACCCAAAAGCAGAGGCAGGAAGGCAAAGGTGAATTTCTTCAGATTTAAATAAAAAGGGAAACTGAAAACAAAGGCAGGTTATACAAAAATCCAATAATGAAAACGAAGTCCAAACTAGCATGAAATCAGGAGCCCAAAAACCTAAAAGAATCAAACATAAAAACTAGTCAAAAAGAACTTTTGACAAAGTTAGGCAGTGTTTGACGAGGACCCAGCAAAGGGGAACTGAAGAGAGAGGGCTTTTAAAGGAGACTGAGACAAAGAGGGGGCTGATGAGGAAACTGGGAGCAGGTGTGCACAGAACAAGAGAGGGAAAGAGCTAGGGAAGAAGGAGAACACAAGAGGGCAGCAGAGAGCAACAAATAGAAACTTGGAAATAACACAATGTTAAATTACTAGGACTATAAAACATGGAGAGAAGAAAACTAAACAGAACTCAGACTAGGACAGTAACTGGAAAAAACAAAGAACACAGCAAAATAAAAATAAAACCACTAACACTAGAAAACAAGGAGTAAAGCAAGACTGAATACTCAAAAGAAAAACATAACAGAAACCTGACACAGACAGCTGCTGTCAATATGAAAGATGAGTGAGACATAATATTACAATAATCTCTTGCATGTCACAACTCCTTAAAAGAACAAAACAAATTTTAAATTTAAACTAGATCACAAATATTTATTCAGATTAAAGACTATTTAAACTGAACTCAAACTGGCAGAGATATTTGCAGATAAACACAAAGTTATATTAACATATCATAAGATAATGTTTTACAAACATTATGTATTTATATGGTATATTATTTTTATTCAGTATTTTAAAGGAATTCTTTTTGATAATGAGTGTTATGATCTACAGAGGAAAATTTGTTGTAATGTGATTTACAGAGAGAGTAAAGTTAATATTATACATATTATTATGTTCATTTTTATTTATTATTTGTTCGTGTCAAATTGTAGTAAATACTAAATTCATGTTGTGTCTAACTAAAGGATTTTTGTCCTTTGTTTGTATAAACCTCCTCCAAAACTCTTTTTCACACTGTTTTCTTTTTCTCGTTATTTATTCATATGTGAACATTTAATCAGTTAATGTGTGTCATATATCTAACTACACTGCAGTGCAACACTTGGGCCCTCTATCGTATCGCCTCAGTATTTTCCCCATGTCTTGCATCAGATATTCAGACAACGACCTAACTCCAGCAAATATGTTGTTTTCTGCAGTATTAATGAGGCTGATATTGAACATAAAAAGGATCAAAAGCATCCTTTGGACCAGCGGTCCCCAACCTTTTTTGTGCCACGGACCGGTTATATGTCAGACAATATTTTCACAGACCGGCCTTTAAAGTGTGGAGGATAAACATGACCAAATAAAATGATACGATTGGCATAAAATCAAATACAAACAGCATAAAAATAGAACTCATAATTATCTTGAATTAGTGGGAGCCCTGAGCTTGTTTCTCCGAAACAAGCCGGTTCCATCTAGGCGTAATCGGAGACAATGACACACTGAAGTGTGCTCCTGATGTCCAGTCTGCTCCGTAGCTTTGTTTTAGTCGCTGTAACTGCAAAAAATCTCGCTTCACAAAGATAGGATGTTATAGATAGGATGCGTCTTGACCTGAATTAACCTGTGTCAAGAGGCACAGATGCACCGACTGATGTAATTGGGAGAGAATACCCCAATTTTTTATATTAATCAAAATAAAACATCAGTCAGACTCTGATCATCAATAAATTACATATATATATTTTTTTTTCTGTGCGGCCCGGTACCAAATGACTGACGGACCAGTACCGGTCCGCGGCCCTTTGGTTGGGGACCGCTGCTTTAGACAATACAGGAGCCCAGTTTCACAGCAAATATATAATAAGAGATTCTGTACTCATTCTGTTCTCATTTGACAGAATTTGGTTATAAGGAGACAGATCCCAGCTGCAATTTGAATGTAAAACGGTTCTACAGTGGAGGAGTTTTTTATGACCTGGATGTGTAACTGTTCTCATGGTCTGACTCAATTAAGGCTTTGTTTTTTCTCTTTAAAACAAATGCGGTTACTTTACACCAATTTGTTTACATTCTATTCAACTCAGTTTATTGATATAGGGCCAATTTGCATTTATTTTCACCCGGATCACACAGTCAGATTGGGTCATACTTTTCTATCTAAGGAAAAACCTGCAGGAAGCATCCTTGACTCAACAGTAATCTCATGCATGCAGCGACAGTGGAGAGGATCAAGCTTTGAATTTTGCTAAATATTAGATACAAGAAGTTAGAGCTACTGAACTGTATAGAAAACAGGAATATATATATATATATACATATATGTATGTATAAAATAGATCCTATTTCAATTCCTATCATTATAATCTGGTTCATATAGTCAAATCTGCTCCTGTTTATAATACAGGCATCATATCAGAAGGTTCTCTGTCTAAAGAAGCACATTTGGTTGCATTTTGTAATTAACTCTGCAGAACCCCCCCAGCGAGCACATCTACCTATTAATCTATTGTTTGCAAACTGCACTCTACAAATATGGCTTTAATTAAGTTTTATTTGACTTATTTCAGCCCTTGACACTGTCGATCACATTGTTCTTATTATTAATGGATTTGACATTTCTTGCATAGAAATAGCATTTTTCATTTCTTATTTATCAGAAATATATTTTACTGTTTTATGAACCAAGTTTACCTTAAGGATCAGAATTGGGGTTGATAAGCTCATGACACAGAGATGTATAGGTCTCTAAATAAGAAAGATCTACAAATAATCTGAACTATAGCAGTTGAATGCAAACAATAAAAAAACTTGTTATTTTACCTAAAGAAAGAAAAACAATACTATGATGATTTTGGTGCTGATGACTAGCTTATTTACTAACTCCATTCACCTGTCTAACTCTGCTCAATTTGTCATCACTGCTCATCTGATCCACCTGCCTCTGCCTCTATTTAAGGTGCTTGCATCCAGTCATCTGTGGCAGATTATTTTTGTTCTCTCTAACCAGTGGTGAGGTGTTTTTAGAGTTCCTTAGAGTTTCTGATTTCCTGATCCTGACCTGTTCTGCCTCTCAACCACTGAGCCCGCCTGTTCCCGTCTGACTTGTTTGCCTGAACTGTCTTTGGACTCCTGGACCTCTGAGTCTGCCTGTTCCTGTTCTGATCCATTTATTGCATACATTATAAGGCAAAAAATTAAGACATAAAATGTCAAACAACCCTTTCGTTTTTGTCAAATAATGATTAATACTACTGTCATACCAGTCATAGGCAATCATTCCTTTCCACTCTTGCTTAGAGGGAGGAATCGCTGAGTACTTTTATAAAATGATGTCACCATTAACCTGGTGTTGTGCTTTGCTCACTTAAGGCTGATTTATACTCAGAAACCAGGTCGTCTGAGTGTGTCGCAGTAAATGCAAATGAGCCCCTGCCGCAGACACTCTGCTGTACCTCTCCAAAATTGTAGATGGTACCTTACCAGCTTGTTTTGTTTGTATGACCGCCATTGTGGAAAACGACTCATAATTTGGACCAGCTAGAAGAGCAAGATACGCAAGAACCTTTTTCCAACTTGATCCCCGCTCTTTTTCGCCCTCATGTCCCTCTGCTGTCGCACAAACTTGCCCCCACTTCCTCACCGCCTTGGCCGGATCTAGACCCCAGCTAGTTCGTGATTGTGCCTAGCGTTGTGACCACACTTCAGTATTGGGCATAACTCTAAAATATCGGCGTCAAGCTCAGTGCGACACACTCTTTCGGGGAGCATAACCAGCCCTTTAGTCTCTGAGGATAGAGACTGAAAAGTTAATTGATAAGAAGAGCTGGCTGCAAAGTAAAAACTTTGTGTAATTGAATGTGTTTCTTTTGATTGATTGATTTTTTTCAAACTGGTATTACAAACAGGATTTTACTACTTGTAATACAGCTAGGGTATAGAACACAACACACAATGCGTGTATTCAAATTTGATAATTCTTGTTGTATTTTACACTTCACTTCATAAATTGGATCTTTTTTTTCTTTTTTGAAGAGAAAAAAGCTTTTTTTCACATTTAAGCTAAAATTTAACTTCATTATCAATTTCAGTCATTTAGGCAATGGCGATGGGTTATTTTATTGTTCATATCAAGCTACAAACGTTAGTGTTTTAATTGACAAAATCAACAGTGGGGTTCTGATTACTGAATCAACACTCTCACAACAAATATTTGTTCACCATTTCAGGCCTTGCATTATGAATTTTAAATATTTTTACTATACTTTTTTTTTCTTTGTATTTTGACGCATTTTCTTTCATTTGATCTAATTATGCGCTTCAATGTTTCTAAATCTGTTTAATAAATAAAGTAGTATTTTGTATTTCTAGGACGTGACTGCTAGGAAACCTCATTCTGGCTGACTGCGTGAACGCGCACGCAGGCGCGCTCCAGTAACCTGCTGGGTTGTCAAAGCGCAGCTGGGAGCGGCAGCATTCAGGACTTAAACGCTTCTCTCGAAAGTTTGAAGGGGACCTCTGTCTATCTTATTCCTTCCTATCAGTGATTTTCTTTCAGGGAAACTCTCACCGGAGACTTTTCAGCGGCTGCACGGAGAACAGAGGACATTTCTGCGTGTTTTTTTCTTGAGACGCTGTGAGTTAAGAGAGCAAACTGTGAGAAAAGGCCGTAGTTTGAGGATCTCTGCGCCCGTTTGACTACATTCTTTTAGATCTAGTTATAACAAGTATCTTCTTGGTAAGCTTTACTGCCTAAAGGCAGCGCTCACGTGAGTTTTTCCTGTCTAGTCGATCTATTTAACTACATGTTAAGGATAATTTAACCTTTGAAACTGGGTTAGACTTTTCAATGTTCAGATTCCCTCTATTGACTATGGGTTCTATGTTTGGTCTTGTTTTGAAATTAACTTGTAATTTTTAATGTTTATTTTTCAGTTAGATTTTTTTTATAGACAGGAGCTAATGTTTGTTATTATAGGACTTATATATTTGTAATTATGAGTCAAGCCTCAAAAAAGAAAAGAAAACACCAGAAAATACTGATTGACTTAAAAAGGATATGTTTGTTTTTAAAGACTCTTTAATAATATTGAAAAAACAAAACGTTACCAAGGTGTTTTTCCCGTGTAAAATGTTTATTTAGAGTCGTCGGGGTTTATTTTCCAGAAGTTGACATCTTTATCTTTTTTCTTCTTTTCATTATTTATGATATAAGAAATAATAAAATACATTATTGCCCCGTAAAAAAAAAAAAAAAAAAAAAAAAAAAAAAAAAAAAAAAAAAAAAAAAAAAAACGCAATGCATTATGGGTAATGTAGGACAAAAGGTTTTTCCATTGTAAATTAAGGCTTTGGTTAAAGTATAGGTTCATCTTGGCCTCTGCTACTTTAAATATGGTATTTAATGTTGGATATATAGCCAATACTAACATTAGGTTTACTGAAGAACGTTAAGAACATATTTTACATTTATTTAGCTTATTTCTGGAGCTGTTATTTTGGTATAATTGCAATCATATAGAAAAGCTGCTAGTAAACCACATTTGTCAAGAAAACATTGTTTTGGGTTGGTTGTAATTACATGTGGTATTTTTCTTACATTTAAAATCAATCAGCTTTTAAAAGTTAAAATCAATATTAAAGGATAGATTAATGAATTAGCTTGATGCATGCGGCCTGATAACAGACTGCTCCCCAAAGGGATTGGTTAAATGCAGAAAGTTAATTTCTCAACTGTGAGATTAATAAAGTTCAATTTCTTGAATTAACAATCTGATCACTATGTTTATTTTTTTTTTGCTGGTTTTTAGAATCATTTGAATCTAACCTGAATTGGGGAAAAAAAGGTATAAAAACATACCGCACACTCAGCTTAGTCTTCTGTCTTTATTTATTAAGCAAATGTTAAGCATTGTTAGAGAGATTTTTGTCTCAATATTTTTGGTTCCCTTTTTTATTGCAGTTCCTGAGCCATTTTTTTTTTTTTGGTCATGGAGGATGAAAAAAATATCCACCGGTATCTCAATTGTTAGTTTTATCTCCACAGGTTAGAAACGCCATCTTTCAAAATGAGTGCCAGCTTATTGCGTCGAGTAAAAGATTCTACTAAGAAATCCCCGGCTGCGACAGGTGAGTATCAGTTTCCTGGTAATTTAATCATTTCTGTTCTGAAAACTGAGTTTTTTAAATTCTTTCTCTAGGATGTTCAAAGGCAGCGATATGCATCATCCCCATTGCTGAGATTGCGATCGGTGAGTAGCTGTACTCATCTCTACTATTATTCAGCGACTTCGCTCCGCCTTCTAAAAAACAGAGCTCTCCTCTGTCCTGCAGGAGCGATATACTTACACGAATGTCCGGCCCAGGAAAAGATCCCAATCTACCTGATCGTGATGGGGGTCTTCAGCTTAACCCTAAATATCCTAACCTGCCTGCCTTGCGTGTCAAACTCCGAAAGTGACGGCCCTACAAAACTTAGCCGGGGCTTTACCGTCTGGAACTCATTGGTGTCCACATTTCTCTTCGCCTGGTTCATCACAGGTGAGTGGCTTTATTATTTGTAGATATGGTATGCTTAAATAAGAGGAAGGCATAATGGCACTGGTTGTCTGGCAGATGTTTGTTGTTCTGCTCAACATAGAAGTTAATATTTACGAGAGCAAGATTAAATATTGGAGTGATAGAAAATCTCTGGAATTTGTGTTTTGGATTAATCCTCTCCTTTAAGGTTTTTTGTGTGGTTCACCTTTAAAATAAGCAGCATTATTTAAAAACACTGCTCTTCCTGGGTTGGCCCCTCCTGGGCGCCTTTGCTCTTTGGGTCCCTCTGGGCTTCTGGGGCTTTGGGCCTCTGGCGCTCGCCTCAGTGCTCTGAAGGGGCGCCTCTTCGGCTCTTCACAACCTCTATTGAGCATTTTTCCCTTGGATAAACTTTACATGCACAAGTGCACGCTCACAAACAACTAGGTGCTTGGCTCCAGGTACTTAGAGATTCACTTCCATACAGAAAGCCCATATTCTGATCTTCAGCTACCACAGCATACATGTCAGATTAAATAATACCACTAATACTTCAGCTATAGTATCAAGGTGCTACTTTATTGTATCTCTTATACTATATCTTTTGGTTTTGCTGTTCTTTTCACATCTCTCTGCAGGTGATGAAGCAGTCTGAAGATATCTTATCGTTATCTCCCTTTTATCTCCTCTTTCTTTCATCTTGTCTATTTTTCCTTATCATTCTACTTACATTGCATTGTGTCCATAAAAGCCCGAAAAATTTTCATAACCTGCCTGGAAATACGAAATCTTGCCCAATTTGAACCAAATTTTATTGATCTCTTAGGCCATAAATCTAAAGAAAAACATTTTTTTTACCCATAGACGGCCATTCTAAACTGCCAGATTGGGAAACATCCCAACCTGGCAGCAGTGAAAGTAGGACAGGAAACGTTAGCCTTTAGATGCAAAACCCCATCATGCTCACAGCATATTTTTGCAAAATATTCAAACATAAATTCTCCAAACAGGAACATTGTAGTTTGGTTTAAAGAAAGCATTTTAGTTTTATTCTAGTTTAGTGTGTTGCAAGGATTTTACAGTTTGAAGAAATAGAAAATTGCACAACATGCCAACCGTAACAAGGATATGCATGACAAGGAAGGCCTACTGCATGCATCATTTAAATAGTTAACATTGTTTTGCTTCTTGAGTTCTTCGAGTTATTTACTGTCACAGCCAGCTCGGAGAGTAAGTGTTGGGGCCGGTATGGTTTAAAGGAATAGTACACCCAAAACATGATTAGCCTTCATTTTCTACTCACCCCCATGCTGAACAACACTCTGGAGTACTTTTTTGATATCTCAAATGCATCTGGAGATCTGGGAGGCTTCTTGCTGTCTGCTGACATTCAAATAATGGAGGTCTATGGTGCCCGAGGCAGAAAGGTCCATAAAAGTCCACAAAAAACGTGTCAATATTCCTCCATACTGCTCGTCCAATGTATTCCAAGTGTCCTGAGTGGGTAGCGTCCAGAATTTACTCGAAACGAAGTCATTTAGAATGTTTTTAGAGCATAAACAGTAGTGTATTGGATTTCCTAAAAGCGCGTTCACGAGTCTACGGAACCCGCGGCAGACCAAACCAGATGAAAGTGTGCACGCTGAAATTAGGACCGGCCCACCAGGCAAATGCTTGGGTGTTATTTTTTTGTTTTGTTTTCAATTGAACCCCTCTTAGATTTCTACTGGCTTGGTTCGTTAGAGGTGTCAAATGTTGAAATGTCAAATGAAAATGTATTGTTCTTCCTTTGAAAAGCAAGGAAGAACAATAGTTCTCATCTCTGTTTAGATATATGTGAGGGGGGGGGAACTGAAGAAAATACAGTATTTATGACTCGGAAAATACAGTATTTAGAAGGAGGGGCCTCCAGATGCTTAAAAAATATATTCAGAAAAACTGACTAAGTCTGGTTGTCTGTAGTGTTCTAAAATTTCTATAATCAACTGTTATTGGGGGTTTTTTTGCCCTTATTTTCAATTCCATCTATCCATTTTCTCCTGCTTAGTCCTTGTCAGGGTTGAGGTGGGTTGGTGCCTATCTCCAGCTGTGTATGGGTGACAGGAGGGGTACACCCTGAACAGGTCACCAGTCTGTCACTGGGCAACGCAGAGACACAAAGACACACAACCATGCACACACACACTCACACCTAAGGAGAATTTAGAGAAGCTAATTAACCTAATTAACAGTCAATTTGCATTTTTTTCTCCCCCACCTGACGCTTCAGTCTACCTTCTCCTACCTCTCTACTCACTGTTAATACAAATGGATATTTAACTCAAAGTTTTTTTTTTGTTTTGTTATTGTTCTTTTAGCCATTTTATTCATGTTCATTTGCTCTCATTCACTAACAGAAGTGGTAAATCTGTACACAACTTTGGTGTTTACTGGAGCAATACCTTATTTGGAACCAAAACAGTTCAAATAATGGAGATGGATGTTTTTAGCTTGTTAATGCAGTAACTCTGAAACTTTTGGTCAGATTTTATTCCTTTACAATCATAAATGCAAATTTGTTGTTCTGGTTTTTTTTATGTGTATGACTGTAATGCATGGCCTTGCCTTTGTCCTTAACCATTCCATTGAAGCTGTGGTTGTATATGAATGGCCTTTGTTCTGATAAAAGGTGAATCTCCAGCTCAGTCACATGTCTTGGGCGGCCTAACAGGTTTTACTCCAGTATTGTGTTCTATTTAGATGCAGCCATGTTTCTGTTAGCTTTAACCCTATCTTTGTTCAGGTTGACTGCCATGTATTGGTACGTTAGCAGATGTACCTTCCCAATGCCCAAAACTCTTTATTCTTACCACAGGGGTGGTTTAAGACTTGCATAAGACTTGTATATCCAATGATTTTATTTATTATTTTCCCACAGGTAACGTTTGGATCTACTCCATTTACCAGCCAAACTACTCTAAGAACTCTACAGATTTGGGCTCCTACTGTGACAAGACACTTTACCTTTTCGCCTTCTGGATCACCACCCTGGTCTACATCCTAGTGGGTCTCTTCCTGTTGACTGGCTGCTGCGTCCTCTTCTGTTTTTTCATCTGCGGCCGGGCGGACCCTGACGACGACGCCAACAACCCCTGAGAGACTCTACAGAGGTTTATGATGGCTTGCCTCTCGCTTGGTGATGCAGTAGTGGCAGCTGTTGGCTTTTGCTGTACAAACAAACCATCCAGAGAGCGCATCTGTTGTTATGCATAACGACTTTGAAATCCCAGAAGAATGATTTTAAACGTTAAAAAAACTGAAAAACTGGTTATAGAGCATTGATCTTTACAGCTACTGAATCTGTTGCTTATCTACCCTGCTGTACTTTGATGACATGTGTTTCAGAGCTGCTTATATGCTTGTTGCTGTTTGTTGTATATTGTTTAACACCAACTGAATGTTTGACTCACAATATCTGCCATGCTGGAAGACATATGTCTGTATTTATATGTTTAGCTTCATACAGTTGTCCGTAATATATTTTATGCAGATAAACATAGAGGTTCGGCTGATGTAAACCTGTCAATCAGACCAAATTAGACGAATATAAAAAGCTTGTAGAAGAAATAGAGAATATTATATAGAACGAAACAACCTGAGATGTTTGAAAACTTACAAACGGCTGCTAATTTGATCAAAACAAACCTTGAGATGCTTTACTTTGGTAGCAACAATTGGCATGTACGTTATCTGATCTGATTACTTCCACAGAAATGAAACTAAAATGGGGAAAGGTCTAATGTACAGCTTCTAGATGCAGCAGAGTGAGATTGAGCATATATATAATCTAGAACATTTAGGCCAATTGCCACAATATACAAAGTTTACTCCTCAAACCTTTTTTTATTATATGGTGGGGGAAAAAACCTTAAACAAACTCCATGATAAAAACTTAGCCTTCGTTTTCCTTTTATGTGTAATCCTTATTAGTTTCCTGTTCTTATGCATTTTAGTCTCTTTGATCTTGGTGGATATTTTTCTTTTTGCAATCTTCCCCAACATAATAGCATTTATTTTTTTACCATCCTCCTCTCTGTTTGATAGGCACTTTGTTTACATTTTGATAAAGCTTGTAGGGGCCTGAACTGTTTTATGTTTGTGCACTTCTTTTTTGGTTTGAAATATATTCCTATGGCTTATTAAATTACAGAAATTGTAAGGAATTTCTGTAATTTTAAATGTGATAATATTTGCGGTTGCATATATAAACTGAGTGATCATGTACATTTTGTGGAGTCTGATGTGGGTTGGCATAATGTTTGTGTTTTATTAGTACCTCTGTCAGTTTTTTTCTTTAAATGCTTGATTCATTAAGTGAACAGCTAAATGCACACTGACTTTTTTTTCTTCAAATCTTCAAAAATAAACTATGCTGGAGGTGATGGGAGCATTAAGCTAAAGTTTCACATTGACTATCTATACAGTTTCTAGCTGGAGCATCTGAGGTTGTTTTGTTTGTCACTATAGACTTGTGCTGCTCGTGCAGGATGTACTGGATTCGCACTCACTCTAAAACTTCCTCATTCTTTCTCCACTTTGTTCATCTCTTCATACATGAGGCTCTCATCAATTTTGTGTTTTCTTTCACTTCCTTTAAAAAGAAAAACCCAAATAAAACTTGATACCTCAGCAATTTGGTCTTTAACCAGCGCTGTTTTTTACAGCTTTACTTTGGTAGAATCACTGCCGCTAATAATTCTGCCTACTCTTACTTTGTCTTTCCAATACAAAGTGCTCCAGAACCAGTCTGCCTGTCTGCTATTTTCTTTTCCCCCAGCAGATGGCAGCAAATAGCTACTCAGGGTTACTTCATGTTGGCAGTGGTTCATCTCCACTGTTATCAGGCATTTGCTTAGGTTTTCCACAGGATCCATGGTTATGTAAAGGCCCAGCAGATTTAAGAGTAACATACATTAAATTTCCAAATTAAAATGTATTATGATTTAGATCTAACACTGAACTGTATAAATAGATGATACCAAAATATATTTTACTATTTGAGATTAATCAGTTGGATTTTGTATGGTGAAAGTGATTCTAAGCTGTTTTTTCTCTTCTACTTTGACACATTTGCTGCAGATTTTAACTTAATAACCAACCTAACCTTTTATGAATGTTACTAATTTGAATTCATACATCTATACAACTGCAGATTTCATTATCTTTACTTTTAATTTAAAATTGTATGTGCTGCATAAGCCTTTTTGCAGTCGGCTAAATTCTGGGGGTTCCCAGGGGATGGCACGGTAGGAGCCTAGTTGTAATGAGGTTTCCTTCCTGTGGAAAAGCAATTGTTCCTCCCCATAGTCGCCGCATGCATGTTCAGGATGGATTGCCAGAGATTTAATATCCCAGTGCGAGTGACCATTTTGGTAGTAGATCTAATGAGTATTTTTAACTTATTGCATTCAACAGTGGTTGTAAATCTAAACTGCAAGTGTCTGACACCATCATATGTACTTATTTACAGTAATTCTTTTCACATGTCTGTACTGACTTAAAAAAAATGTTTCTTTCTTGGCTGTTAGTTTTTATTGTGGAACAGTAACCAGTTGAATAAGGGATGAACAAAAAAAAAACCCTTAGACCTAACCTTTGTCCCCTATCTTAAGGGAATGTATTTTAAATAAAAAGGGGGGAAAGATACCATAATTCTTAAAATCCTCATTATTGATTAAGCTGTATACATTTTTTTTTGTTTCCTACTTTCCCCACACATTTCTGTTGAAGACATATGACAACAGAAACAACATATACCAACAACTGTTTTTATTTTGCATTAGTTAAGAACAAACGTTTTCATAAAAATGTAATTTACATACAACACAAAAAAAGGTATTGTTGAATATTTATAATGTTACAGCTTTCCATGTTAATGATATGTTAAAATGTTGCAGGATAATATGAAACTTTTTAACTTTATAAGTTTTTATTTCTCTCCAGTGGATCTGATTGGTGGAGGAGGTTGTGACATCAGCATGGCTTGCGGGAAAGGTTTTCCAGCGTTTTGGCATGTGCAGGCTGATAAATTAGAGCAAAGCTGGAAGGGCTGAGCTGGCCGTTGCCCTGGGCGTCGACCTTTCCCATCAGCACGTAGTTCCGACCTGAAGGAGGCAAATAAACCAAGATAAAATATCTAAATGTACCAACACTTCTAGAATTTTCATATATACAGAGGTGGCAGTGGGACAAATTAGGTACTGCCTATAGAGCAAACACCCGGCTCTAACAAGGGTTTCAAGCCGGTTGATATAAATAGCAATATTTTTAACTTGTGCACTTTGCAGGTTTATTGTTTTTTTTTTGTTTTTTTTTGTCTCATGTTTCAACACTACAACAGATGTTCACCTTTTTAGAAAGAAAGAACGAAAGAAAGAAAAAAAGAAGAAAGAAAGAAAAAAGAAAGACCATGTTTTCTTGTTTTTCTGGAATATACTTTGATTAAATCTCTCCAGACTTTACATTTTTCTGCCTATACTGAAAAAAAATCATATAATATGTCAAATTTTAGCACTTTAATAGTATATGAGTACTGAATGCTAAACTTCGTGATATTTCAGACTTACACACCCTGTTTTAATGTAGTATTGGGGGAGAAAGTAATGTTAAAAAAAGCAGTTTAGTCAAAAAAAAACAACAGTTCCTCTCATATTTGGAAATATAGAGCTTAGATAAAAAGCTAAAGATAAAAAAAAAGAATGACTGCATAGCTCTGTGCTTTACCTTTGATAATCCCAGGGCATTTCTTGCAGACAGAGGTTAGTGTCACTGACTTAATGGGTCCTGATTTGGTCATTTTGAGCTGTCCTGTCTTGTAGGCTCTGATCAGCGACACCTCCAAAGTTGCCGAGCCGTTTGGATGAGGAGTCAGAGAGGTAACCTTTCCTGTAATCACTGGAAAAAATGAATAAACTGTTAGAGGAAATCTGAAACAGCTAAGATTTAAATAAAGGTGGGGCAGAGTTAGGATTGTATTTGAAAAAATCAATGATAATGTAGGAGATGTGATTAGGAAATTCTATATATCAGAGGGAAAAAAATGTTTTCTATTTGGAAAGATGAATTGGGAAGCCAAATTGTCCACTACAGGAGATTTCTTTATGTTCCCAAACGTCCTCAATGACGATTTATGATATTCCTGTTACGAGGATGCCTGGGGTGCCTATGTTTTGACTTTGACAGCATGTTTTTCAATCTTGAATAAATGATAACGGTAGAAAAAAACAGAGCATCCTTTAGCTGGCCGTCTCCTTTAAGCAAGGTTCCAGCTGACTGCTCTTTGTGGAGCAACTTGTTGCTCTCACTCCATGGTGTGCTTCAGTTCATCAACCTAACAAGTTGCTTGGTTAACATCCATTCTATCTGTTCATGCTGATAAAAGGAAAGAATTTGGTACAAAAGGATTGTTATATCTTAGTCTGAAATCTCTCATGCATTATGCTAATCCACTGAACAGATTCCATTCGGAGCTGTTGGTTTTCCAACAACCAATCAAAACGTTGCTCCATGTTTGGAATGGGTCAATTCCACTACTTGCCAAGTTATACCCAGGCATTGCTGCAACCTTCTTCCCTTTCATACCCATGTTTAATCAACCATTGCATATCAGTTTATTACTCATGGTAAAAAAAAATATTTTGATCAATAAGAAAAATAATATAATGATAACATTTCTAAATATCACAATCGTACTACAGCCTGTTAAGTCTAAAAAAAGTGGACATTTGGCCAGAAGACATGACTTCTATTGGATGGTTTATTGGAGCCTAGGAGTAAATAACGGGAAATTACTTTGAATTATTACATCTCAGAAGAGGTAAAACAGCATTCCTCCACGAGAGCAAAAGCAGGAAAGTGTGAAAACACAAAAGGGCAAAAATATGAAAAATATGAGTTCATCCATAAATGCCTGCTAAGAGTTAACTCAGCTATAGGAAGGAAAAATACCAAAGCCTGGGGAACCTCTAATGAGACCACATTTAGGACTACATATGGTCGCACATCTATCTCAATATAGAGACATTTTCAAAAATACATGCACTGTTTTTTTACACATACTCAACATATTATTATTCATAGGAGAAAAAAATCATTAATATAAATAACACATAAAACTAGAAATATAAATTTTTATCTAAATGCAATTTATCTACTTTTTCCATTGAGGAACAAACTGAGGTAGGTTGACCTTGTTAAAAATAAAAGACATATAGTGTGTTTCTGACTGTGGAAATAAGAGGGAACTCTACAGTGAGATCTAAAAAGCCGACCTTTAGTAAGGTCGCATAATTAAATCAAATGTGTTTTGAAAATCTTTAGATGTTTTGGGGTAACTATATGGAGAACTTTCAAAGAAAACCTTTTTTTAAATGTTTCATATCTGAAAGTGATAACGAGTGTTATCAGACACTAGATATCCACAAGAAGTGTCTCTTTTTAGTTATTTCAACCTTGTAGGGAGAAACTAGCTCCTAGGAGGTAGAGTGACTTTTTCCGGAGGTATAAAACATTGAATGAGCAATAAAAGGTTTAATCTGTAAATGTAATAAATCAAATTTACAGAGACATAAAAGACATTAACAAGTCTGATATTCAGTTGGGTGTCCCTATTTTCTTTTTCATGAAAGTAAAAAAAATGGTATTTTGAGAAGGAGTTGCTGCTCACCAAAGTCATGTGGACAGAAGTTGGACTGGAGAGTTCCTGTCCTTGCACAGAGTTGCGTACACAACGGGTTGACTGGCAAAGCTGCAGGAAATGTGCACAACAACACACATCCCAACATGAAAAACATACAATAACATGCTCACTAACAGAGGTACGACTTAATTCCACTTACGTATCTTGTTGGTAACAGGTTTTTTGGTCACAGTCCTGCTCAGTCCTGGTTTGGGTGTTGGTTTGGGTTTTATGTTTGGCTTTGCTGTTGGTTTGACTCCACTCCTTGGGGTCGGCTTTACAGTTTTGACTCGAGGTTTCATGGTGGGCTTAGGTTTCATCCAAGGTTTCCGTAAAGGTTTGTCCAGGGTTCTTGGTTTTATTGTCGGCTTAATTACTTTGGTTTTCAGTATAGTTTTAGCTCCAGGTTTAGCTGTTGGTTTACTTACTGGCGACTTTGGTGTGGGTTTCGATGGCTTTGGTTTAGAGGTGGGCTTTACTGGAGGCTTGGGAGTAGATCTGCGAAGTGGAGGCTTCTTTACCACCGGAGTCCGTGAAAATGGCTTTTTGGGTGGTTTAGGTGTTGGTTTAGAACGGATACCAGGTCTTGGTTTAACAGGTGGTTTAGTAGTTGGTTTAGAGGTCGGTTTAATAGGTTTAGTAGTTGGTTTGATGGGTTTAGTAGTTGGTTTGATAGGTTTAGCAGCTGGCTTTGTTGTTGGTTTGAGAGTGGGTTTAATGGGTTTAATAGGTTTTTTAGTTGGTTTAATTTTTGGTTTTAAAGCTTGTTTAACAGTTGGTTTTGTATTTGGTTTAGGAGTTGGTTTGATGGGCTTCCTTGGCTTTGAAGTTGGTTTCTGCGGCCCGGAGGTAGGGTGAGGTCTATGAATGAAGTCCCCTCCCGCTGTGGGTGTACGGGACTCACGGGGAACACTGGAGTAGTGAGCCATGAACCCATCTGAGGTGACGCTGAGATCCGACACGAACTGGACAAGAAGTTCGTTGCCATTTGTCACAATAGTTCTACATAAAGATTGAGAAAAAATCCCATTTGAAATCTCCTAAATAAATGGGGTCTAGAATGATCAAGCATTTTCTTTGCAATAATCTCACCCTGGTGGTCTATCTCCGCAGAATTTCCCAATCCTCCTCGAGTCATCACTCTCTCCTCCGTTGAACAATGCCACATAGTCATAGCGACAGTACATATCAGATTCCAAATCCAGCTTCTCAAACTTCACTTCAATGACCTAGGAGACAGAGGGTAACACTTACTAAAAGTTTTACGACGGGGAATGATGCAGGCATGTTTATTCCTTTCTGATTTTTATGAAGTGAGTACAGTGCAGCCACAGGGAGGTGGTAGTGGAGGAGTATGGAAACACAGAGGGGGCTTTTAGCTCTTTCTGTTGCCTTTGGTTCCTCCTCCCCCGTTTCCTTAAGTCAATCTCTTGAATTATTTGAACAGACCTGCAGAGACTCAATGAACTCTTTCATTGAACTCCCTCATTACTTGGCCACTGTCACTTTTTCATTTAAAAGCACACATTCACATGCTATCTAAGGTACATTAGCAATTGCTCTTCTTATTAATGGGCTTCTTCACAAATGCAATAGCAACCAACACCATGATTATTTATCAGACAGAAAGTCCAACCAGTGCTTAATACTGAAGTTTTTATATAGGTCATTAAATATGTTATTGGGAATTAGTGTGACTCAACAGCACAGTATTAGTAGTGTCCTGTCCTGCAGCAGTCTTTCTATCTCTGGCAGCTTTGAACATTTAGGGAAATATGTTGGGTTTAATCTTTGTGAAACAATTCAAGCTCAGTCAGGTCAGATGAAAGGTCTCTATAAACACAAATGTTCAAGTCTTACTACTGATTATTAAACTATTTTATGCCTGGACTTTGACTGGGGGTTCAGCCTCACACCATGATGCAGCCACCACTATGTTTGAAAATGGGGGTGGTGTGTTCAGGGCACATTTAGCAATTTGGGGAAAAATCCTTTTGGTTTCAACTGAGTGGATGATCCATTTCCTTGTTTGATGCTTCCCCCTATGGGGCTTGTTTTGAAGCGTGAGACATTTTTTCATAAGGTGACCCAGCTTTACATATAAATATCACATTGCAACGAATCCAACACTTTTGGATAAGAGAATTTATTATTTCAGTACCTTTACTTTTTAATCTTTTTTAGAGTTTTTATCTTAATTTGTTGTCAATCATTGAATCCAAGTGACATATAACTATTTACATATTTGCATTTCTACTGCATTCATACAAAAGATACTGTACAGCACAACGTTTATGATGAAAAAGTAAAACAATATATCTACACCAGTTTTAAGCTTTATTTACTAAGCAGCTACACCAAAATGATATTGTTAAAAAAATGAGACAATTTTTCTTCAAATAAATGTTTTTAACTTTGATTTGAGCAGTTAATTAGACAATGGAATGAGATTATTTACGTTTTAAAAATAACAAAATTAAATTATTTCAAGTGTATAATATCAAATAATTTTATTTCAAGGGCAAAAATACTCCTTCCATTAGCAGACAATGTTATTTGCCTTCTCAAATAGAGGGCAAATACACTTATTTTGGGAAAGTTTTGCTTATTTTTGGATTTGTTTTTTCTTTTTCACTATAAATATGCTAATGTTTAAGGCATTAAATAATTTGCCTTGAAAGTTGGAACCCCCACTTGGAAACCAACTTCACACCCAACTTAACTTAGCTGGACTCTTCTATTTGCGGGCCGCTGTGGGCAGTAAATAGAGCGCTATTACCACCACAAAAACCCAAAAGCTATTTAGTCTCTAGCATTAGAAAAAAGAATTGCATAAGCCAAGTGACTGGCAGTTGAAAACATTATGATTTTTATTATTACTGAATAATTTTCTGCACACCTGTTGCCAACAACATCAACTTTTAGCTGTGGTCCATACGCTGTTTATCATCAATTTAAGTTTCAAAATAGCCCCACTTTGACCATATAAATGAGAAGATATAGATATGTATCCGCAATTTACCTAAAATAAAAAAATATAAATATATACTGCTTATACACTGTTTCTTCTTTTGTATGATTTGTTACCCATGTAGCCTAAATAGTGTCATCTAAAAACTGAAATATAGTCAAAGCATTGTTCCCAGTTCCCACTAGAATCAGTAGGTCTTAAAAAGGAACCTTAATTCTTAGGCTTTTTTCTGTACTTTGAAAAATAACATTTTCATCTGCGTGGAAGCTTAGGGGCAATCTACAAAGCGAAACACATATCTGTAGTGTGATCAAAACCACTTAGAAAATCAACGTATAATGTTCAATCTACTTGCTTGGTTTATTTGAGGAAAGTTAAAATGAGAATAATTTTGTGCACTTTAGAAAAAAAGTGCACTATTTTTATTAGCCAGAGGCAGACAGTTACTTTCCTTAGATTCAAACCACAACACTTACATAAAGTTACGGGATGATTATATAATTTTAAGATGATTGAACCCTATGCTATCATGAAGCTTTTGTAAACAAACCCAATAAATCGGTATACACCTTTACTCTACAGCCTGTTTTTTTTTTTTTTTTTTTTTTTTTTGACTGTGCTGAGTTTAAAGAAGTATTGCATCGCCATCATCTTTAAGTGCATTATGATCAGCTTACATTGCTCGGCTCTACGGTGATGTGCCAGGAGCAGCTGATACCTGCTGGGTAATTCGAGGTGGGCCAGTTGGGCGTCTTTACAGAGCCCTGTGCTTTGGTCAGACGGCCTCCACAGAACTGGTCCTCTGTAAAGTGAAAACAGGAAATACTCTTTTCCAAGCTAAATGCGTGCACACATCAAGATTGATTGTCAAGTTGCTTTGTTCATTCAGAATGATTTAATTTTACATAATTTTAAATATCTGGGTAAGGTAAAGGCACCAATAATTTCATAAACAATAAAACTAGAAAATCAAGACATCCTAACCTTCCATATGTGGCTTCCCTGCATTGAAGGAAGCTAGGAATCCTCTCCCACCGGTGGCCTCATCAGACACCATTTCCAGCATCATGGTGTTGGAGGTGGAGATGAGGGCACCCGGTCTGAATGTCCCACAGAAACGGCCCAGCTTCTGCACCAGCCGTGAGTGTCCGTTGTACACGTCCAGGTAGTCATAGCGACAGGTGGGGTCAGCCTCCATGTCGAAGAGGCGGAAAGACAGCATGACTACATGACTCTCTGGGACCTGAAGAAATAAAAGAAGAGTTTAAAAAAGACAAACAAGTTTAAGGGCTGAATATTTGAGTTATTAGTTGAATATGTACCTTATGCTCGTTTTAAGTGGTAGACAGACAAACTCACACAGTTATAGCGTAATGCTGACCTATAAAAACTGTCCTGCTGCAGTGGTGAGTCAATAACACACCACAAGGCCAGAATAAATACTTAATGGTATTATGGAGGATTTTTGCAAATATTTGAAAAAACCTGCCCTCTCCCAATCTCATGAAAATTCTCATGCACAACTCTGTACCAAGAGGGAACACCCATTAAACACGTGCGAGAGCAGTGCACAAGTCCATTTCTCCTCGTGCACACTCTGTTTAAAAGTTGCTGTTTGCATCGCTCATACAAGCTTACTTTCCTAAAGAAGATTTGCAATTTTCCCACTATGTCAGACTCATGACCGGTAAGTGAAAATGGGGACGAGCACATAGGACGGCCTTACACAAACATATCACCAGAATGATTGACAATTAGGAGCAACACTTATTTTGATGATCCACATCAAAGGATAAGAAGTTGAGAAGACAACATACAACATATCCTCTTGAAATTTAAGAAATTGTTTTGAAAAACGTATATTTCTGTCTTTGCTTCTCCTTCAAGATATGCCCCCCAAATAAAATAACTATGGCAGTACTTGGTTTAGGCCCAAAGCTTTTCAGTCTGATGAATTTGAGAGGTATTTCTTTTGATTTGATGACTGACAACTTAAAGCTTTTTAAATTCTCAAAATGACTTCACTAATTCTTTCAAATGAGCACATTAAACTGGCAGTTTCTTATTCCTTTAAACTATGTGCATTGTCATGGGTCTCTGAATATTTTAACATGTATAGCCTAGTACTATTTTGGTTATAGTAGGCTCCTTCAGGAATTTTGCTGGTCTGAATAAGCATAGATTTGGTGCTCGTGGATAGCGGCTGTTTGCAGTGCACAGTCACTATCTACTGACCACTAGTGGAAATGAAGTACGGCATGTGGTATAACGGTCTCAACTTCCTATTCTGAATGAGCAAGACTTTTGTCAGAGCAAGACATGATGGTCCGTTCATCCATTTTACATAGTTTAATATCTCCGTTGAATTATTGCCAAGATTTATAGAATGGCATTAATGCCATTAGGTGCAATAATTATCAGCTTGTTCTTTTTGGATAAGTGCGAAGCTGCAACCACCTCTTTGTCCCCGCAGGCACTCCGTACTTTGGGTAAAACTACGTCATCCAGTTTAATCCCGCAAGATCAGTGCAAAAGTAAAACAGTCATGTTTTCAGTATGTGTAGTGGGTTTGATATAATATTGATTTGTAATATCTCCTTATAGTTTAAATAATATTATTAGCATACATATACATGTACACATTTTAGATGTAGGGAATGTCTGAAGAAATGGAAGAATATTTTACCCTACAACGGAACGTGTTCTAATGTGAATTAGCAATGCAAACATATTGATGGAAAAATGCCAGGGCCAAAAATCGTTCCTAGTCCGACCAAAGTCAGTGGTTTTTAAACAGAGCCAGGGCCAGCTTGAATGACAGCAGCAGCAACAGTTACCATCATCTGCATCACCCTCGTTGTCACCAGAGATGGGAAGTAATGAAGTACAAATACTTTGTTACTGTACTCAAGTAGATTTTTCTGATATTTTTACTTTACTTTACTACTTATTTTTATGGCGACTTTTTACTTCTACTCCTTACATTTTTACACAAATATCTGTACTTTCTACTCCTTACATTTTAAAAAATTGGTTCGTTACTTTAGTTTTGAATCATTTCAATGGAGTTACCGTTATTATTTTTCACGTCATCAATACCAAATTCAATCTAACTGGATGGGAATCTACGTTGCATTTGACGCACCACTACAAGATGAATCGACAGATTCGGCGGTATTCATTGGCGGCAAATCATTGCAGCTTGGTGGCGGTGGCTTTAGCATAGTAGCATGGACGATGAGATGATTGAAAATGAACACAACGGAGATCTAGTCCTATTGGCAGACATCCATTTAAAATGTAGGCAACGGCATGAAAAAAGTGGTTTCTACTTTTACTTTTATACTTTAAGTAAATTTACAAGCCTGTACTTTGTTACTTTTACTTGAGTAAAGAAGTTTAATCAGTACTTCCACTTTTACCAGAGTATTTTTGAACACAAGTATCTGTACTTTTACTCAAGTACGGAAAGTGAGTACTTTTGCCATCTCTGGTTGTCACTGTTCTTTTCTCCAGCCTCAACATCATGTTTTTCATCTCTGCAGTATGTACTTACATCCTCTTCACAGATCAGTATCAAAACAGCTTCCTCTTCATCACCTCTTGAACTCTCTGCATCTCTATAGTCCCAGTGGAAGTCAGACATGACTCGCCTCTGCAATCCTCTCCTAGTGTTTGTCTCCAGAGGCATCCTCTCTGCTCCTCAGACACTCGACATTGTCAGACTTAAGACCCTCAGCCTCCCCTATAGCTTTCAAAGCTTTTAACTCAATTCAAGTCTCAACAACCCCGTTTTATCTCCACATTCGGGTGGGATAAGAGGGTTTGGGAGCTTGTGGATTACTGTTATCTGCAACTACTTGTCAGTGATCATCCACAACCCATCCCTCTAACCTTTCGCAATACCTGAGGATGTTAAAGAGGACCTGCCGGATGGTCTGCCTCTTACTGAGCTCTGGAAAATTGTGGAGAATGACAAACTTATGCTACTCCTTGTAATTTTACCCACTCCTATTTATTGCCATTGAATTTTAGACTTCTTGAGGATCCTGACCTCTACTGTGCATGTTTCTTTTTTTTTTTTTTCATTTTATTTCCACCTACTGTTATATCTTTCTACAGGTTAATTTCGGGTGAACTTCTTTGGCCCTCAGGCAGATGCTGCCGGGATCAAAAATTATTTTGTTGCCTTAATTCTCCTGCTATTTTAACTTTTCTTTTAAAGTATACTTTCTGTTTATTCTGCCAGCTTTCTGTCCGTGTATGAGTGCCCAATCAACAAAAACATATATCACCCCAGCCTACCAATATTTGCAAGAACATTAACTGTCATGATCTGTTCTGATAGCAGGCCTTAATTGCTAATTTCATTCACCGGCCTAGTTCTGCCCAGTTCTTAAACATCTCTGATCTCAGGTTCTGCTTTATAGTCGGTCCAGCCCAGCTATCGTTGCCAGATCATTGTTTGATTTCTGTTTGTTCACTGTTTGATTTCTCTTTCTCCGGTCAGTCGGATTTTAAAATTTTAATCAGTTCCAAGGTTCTTGTCCCTGTTCCAGTGAGGAGTTTATTCTTAAACCAGTGTCCTCAGGTGAGTTATTTCCCTTCCCGGTGGTGAAAGCGTTTCAGCGTTTACCTAGTAATTCTGTTTTCCTGTTCCTGTTCCCACTCACCCACTGTCTGCCTCTGCCTGATCTGCCCGCCTAAACCTCAGTTGGACTCCTTCTGGATTCTGCCTCTCTTTTGGTGTTCCCGTCTGAGCTAGTTGCTTGATGCAAAAGACTCTGAACATGTCCTCCAAGGTGCGTTTCTGTCTGAGCTGGATGCTCGATGCACGGGACTCTGAACCTGCCTTCACGCTCTGATGGATTCCTGGAACCCGGATCTGTCCTGAGTGTATTGGAACCTCCTGGATTCCAGTGCCACTCTAGTCTGATCTGAATTCCTGTTCTGGACCAGAGTCCTGCCTACTCGCTGGGGCTGCTGCATCAAGGACGCTCTGGATGGCTCAGGGCTGCATCTCTTTGGCAGTGTATTGGCTGATCCTGCCTAAGATTGAGAGGATGTAGTGAACTATTAAACCAGGTAAGTGACTCACTCTAATATCATCTTCTGTTCAGATGACCATGGTCACTTACCTGTGTTTCTTCCTAAACCAGAATGTCAGTGATTGGGCAGTGCCCAGCCTCCCTCCTGCAGCCGGGTCCGCAGGTCCTCAGCAGCCTGTTTCTGTTCTGTTCTGTTCTGTCTGTTTATATTTTAAAGAACGTTTTTAATTTTCCTATTGGCTGTCTCACCTTGAATACTGGGTCCATCTGTTCCGTTTTAAGACAGGAACAATCAGAATGACAGTTCTCTAAGCCACAGATTTTTCATTTTGTTAGTCAGGTGTCCTAAGTTAAATGAGCAGCTCATGAAGAGACTCCCACGTTCTTGTTGATAAGAGATTAATTAGGTTTTAGATTCAGTTGAGTAGATTGGTGGTAAAACAGACTGATACATGACTGATATATATGGCATATAAGTCAGGTAAAGAACTAGTAGAGCTCAATTTCAAAGGCGGGACTAACAGAGTCTGCCTCATCACGTTAGAACCAATCAGATAACGATAAGGAATGTGATGCAAAACCTCCAAGCGACACGCTGTTTTTGTTTTTTTGTAGGCTGTGAAACATTTTAAACTGTTAAGGAAGCTCTCCAGTGAATGATTTCTGTTGTTTTTGCCATAAAATTCTGGGGATATAAGGCGTGCTCACTGGTACATTCTTAATTTTTATTGCAACTATGCTCAAGTGCGGTCCCCATTGTTGTTACGCTAACAGAAAAGCGCTGCTGCATTATGGTTAATTCTGATGACAAGAGTCAGGCATCGTAAAGTCCCACCTCCTACACAGTGATTGGTCTGGCGAGATCTGGCTGGAGTCAACGGAGATTGCTAGATTGACTTATGCTCTGTGTAATTGAGTCTGGCTGGCCAGACTAGCTCACATCTGCTGTCCTTGCGTTAAATACATGTTTTGGATCATTTTGAGTGTAAATCCCGTTACAGACAGAGCATCAATCCCACCCAACAGCTTTGAAAAAGACACATTAAAAGCGATTTACTCACAGTGATGTACCAAATGCATTTGCTATTAGGTTTGTAGTGATTGGGGAACCCTTCACTGGCTACAATACCAGAGTCCGTGACAAGATGTCCTCCACAGGGGAACATGGGCCTGAAAGAGAGAGGAGAAAACATGCAGTGGATTCCAGGAAATCAGCTACACTGAAAAATTTAGGTAAAAACTGTGCATAAACATAGTTATATACATTTGGTGTATGTGACAGTGGTAGCCTGTGTTCTTCAGAACTAGAGGGAGGTGGAAGAAGTGTGTTTTCACATGAAGCTTGGTCAAATCAGGACGACAGCACTACCGTACATATACAGTATGTGTGCTGTTTTCAGGCTGCACCACAAGAAAGTTGACAGGAGACACTTTTTCTGCAGCAAATAGGCACTTTCAAACTGCAACGCAACAGACTGCTCACAGATGGAGCCTGGTGACACACACCCACCCCTTCACATTCAGATAAACACACATCAAAGCTCTGCCAGCGTGAGCTTTTAATATTGCTGCACCCACTGTACGCAGATTAAGTAGTGGAAAGGGGTTTTACAGCAAAATCTAAGAATAATTACGAATATTTGTTAAAATACTCAAACGAAATCCTCGGTTCATCTGAGGCTTTTTATTTTGCTTAATGTGTTGTGTGTCTCCTGCGGTGCTATACGGCCACAGTTGGCTGTGCTGACCCAGTGGTTAAAGTCCCTCCCTTCCTCCAGACCTTAGCAGCCCACAGGTATTTGTTTGTTACTCGTGTTCAATTTACACCCTGTGCATTTTTGGAAGGCCAGACTTCGCTGAGGCTTTAATAAACATCATAAAACTAAGCTCCAAAGATGGAGATTTCTGATACACCACTGCAACCACCAAATCCAGAGGCGTCTTTGGATGTGCCCAGTTTAATTACTACATCAGTTCCAACACATGTCATTTTCCTCTGTGCGTGTTTACAGGATTACAGCCACATCATCCTAACACTGAAACCTTACCTTTCCACTGCTCTCCCAATGATCCCACTAAGGGGAAAAGGACAGATTCCCAGTCCTTAATCTGAAATTGTCTCCCACTTGTTCACGTTGGGGGGGGGGGGGGGGGGGGGGGGGCTCTTAATAAAAGAGCTATAAAAAGAAGAATGGAATGAGCAGGTATGAATTCTTACCTTAGGTCTGTGTTGTTTGTCTGACTCTGTCCTTCAGTCCATCCTAAAGCCAAAGAAAGGACAAGAAGACATACAGTCGACGTCCTGTCCTCCATCCTGCTTTCCTTAAAGAGCAGGAGAGAAGGCAAAGGAGGAGGAGAGGAGAGGAAGGAGGGAGAAGTCAGGCAGAGGCGTGGACGAGGAAAGGAGGGCAGAAGTTCTAATGGTGCGAGGAAAGCTGGATGAAGGTTCCTTAATGAAAGGGATGGGGTAAATATAAACTTATGGAGGTCCCACTAAGAGATAGGGAGCTTTGTTATCTGGGCGTAGGTCAGAGCTGCTGCTTCACTGCATTAAATTGAGCCAACTGAGCTGGATTTGCCCTCTTTTCAAGATGCTCCCTGTATGTTTCTCATTGAATGCTTTATGGTCTTAAATGGGAGGAGACAATGAGGGAGACCCAGAACGCTATACAACGGGCTGTAGGTGTCCAGAACATTTCTTTATTTGATACTTCTACAAGCCTGTCTCAGTTAAGCAGGCGATGGATAGACGGCTGGATAGTCATGTTGTAAGCTGAGAAATCCTTGTCTAAAACCGCCTATCAGCTGACAAAAGTTGCTGAAACCATTGTCAAAAGTTCCAACAGTTAAAGGTGCAGTAGGAGATCTTGGAAAAACGGTTTGAGCAAACTATAGTTTTGAACATACACAACCATGCCTCTCCCTTCGAACCCCTCGAAACCTCGCCAGGATGGTAATCTGGATGAACTGACTGCAATGACGATGTGGTTCAGGTGGACTTTCTCACTTCAAAATAGATTCAAACTTCTTTTTACCCACTGATCAAAGCAAATATACCTGCAATTGTTACAGGCAAAGAAAGGATTGGGTAGCTCTGCCCAACGCGCATCAGACCCACTTTTTCCATCGTACAGCTGGAGCAGCAAAGATGCTTCAGCCGCGAGTCAGAACTAAACTGGTACAAGCATAAAAAAATGAAGTAGCATGTGCGCCTTTGTTGCTCTTGCTGTTTTAGGGGTGACCAGATGTTCTCTTTTCCCGGACATGTCCTACTTTTCATACCTAAAAAAATGTCCGGGGGAATTTCAAAATTGTCCGGAATTTTGGTCGACTACAGTGCAACAGAACCGAGCCATGTGCTCCAGGGCAGGGGATGCAGTGACCGAACCTGACCCGGTGCAGTAGCCTGGTCACCGGCAGGGGGGAACATACCGTCACCGGGTCGGGTTCGGTTGTTCCGTCCCTGGCCGCCGGGTTTCCTGGTCCGGTCCAGTCAGAGGCCCCAACAGCCCCCCTCCCCCCAAAAAAGTGTCCTCCTTTTTAGAAACCCAAATCTGGTAACCATAGGTAAAAACGTAGCATAACAGTGGCTAGCTTCCAGCCATGGTGTCCTGCACAAGCATTGGGGGGTCGATTCGTTCATGTGTCAGGGTACGCGCACAGGGAGGTGGGACAAACAGACGACCATGACGGACGTGTCATGGAACCAATCGTGTACAACGGACCATCTTTTGTGATTGGTTGAGATTATTCATTGATTTCTCACTGTATTGGGGACCATTTATTTTAGTTTCACTTCTAGACCTTCTATTTCACTGCTTGCTAAGCAGCTGTGGGGAGATCTTTAAGCCACATGGTAAAAAATCACTAGAAAAGATCTCCTACTGCACCTTTAAATGTATCCATTTGATGGCTTGTCAATAAGTCTACAAAACAATCCTTTGAACACCAACCTCTTTAACAAGCGGCATACAGTTTGGTGCTGACCAGGCTTTTTTCAACATGTCAAAGCAAATTATAAGTTGTCAATTAAAAACAGTCAACAGTTTTAGTTTTGACTCTTGTTTTGACTTTTACATCAAGTCTTTGAACTTTTAAAATGCTAAAAACCCAACATCTGTGTTACTGCCAAACTCATGGCCATGATTGTATGTATAAAACCACATCACTGCCTAACCAGCTATAAGCTCGACTCTTGTTAGTGACTGTATTCAGAGAGCTTCCCTCTTGCTGAGGCTACCTACTTCAAATACCTCAACAAACATGATGCCTACATAATGTTTAGTTCAGGAGAACATTTCTTTTTAGGCTTAGCAAAATACATATATTTTGCATTTTGTATGGGCAACTACTGTAATTTATATCTGACAGAAGCTGTTTTTGCCTTTAATTCATCCAAGGAAACACACTTTAACTTTTAATACAAAAGGTTTAGTAGAGCATTGGCCAATCCTTGCAGGTCCAATAGCTTTAACTCTTAGATTGAGAGTGTCTGCTTGGTTATTGGAATAATTGACCAATCTTTCTTGTGCGTATTTGTGAGGTCAAGCACTGATGCTAAACAAGAAGTCCTGCTCTAATTTGCCCAAATTGTGCTCTGTCTGCTTTGTGCCACTCTCCTGCAGCTTTTGCTTGCATCCCTGCTCAAAAACACCTGAAACAAAAGGCCAAATTGCCCCTTTGGCATTTCAGGTATTTTAGGAGAGGCCTGGCCTGGTGTGTTGAAGAAGGGATCCGTGCAAAAGCTGCAGGACAGTTGCAGCCCAGGACTCAGGTTGCCTAACCCTGGTCTAGGCAGACCAAACAGTTTCCTCAATACAAAACTCCCTCATCCAAATTTTACAGACCTTTAGGGTAAGGTTGCAATCTGTCAGAAGGCTCAGAACGTCTGACCCAGAAGACAAGCAGACAGATCAGGGTGAATTCTCAGTCAAGCATTTATTTTCTGCTCAATGAACAGTGGCTCAAGAGCTGGAAGAGGATCGCAGGAAACTCTGTAGTGGTGGAAACTCAGGTTAGTGACTACGAAACTCAGCTGGTCAGCGATTACGAGCATGTAAGTCACTAACCTGGTTTTTGAGTCTGAGCCCAGAGGAAAGAGTATAATCCAGTATACAGTAATTGTTTCTCTACAGCATGTGGTGGGAGTCGCCCTTAGAGTTCCAGGAGAGAAGCCAGGCAGACTGATGAGCAGAAGCCAGTAGACACAGAAGAACAGAAGTATCTGTAGGGAGAATCCAAACCAGAGTCATACCAGGAGCAGCCTACAGGCCAGAAGATCACAGAGCTGAAGTGGTACAGAAGGAAAATCCATGCCAAGGTCAGGATACAGATCCAAGGTCGTAAGCAGGCAGAATCCAGGAATCAGAAAAAAAACAAAAAAAAAAAACAGATCAGAGGAACAGACCAAAGCATTGGCAAAACAAAACTCGGAAGTCTAAAGCCTGAAACTTGTCAAAATCAGGTAATCAGAGACACATAGGAAGTCTAGTGTTTCTCTCACATACAGCTCAAATAGTCTGGCTCTGATGGCTGGAAACAGGCAGCATAAATAGGAGCTGGAAAGAGTTGGATCAGATGAGGACAGATGGAAAACTGGGCGGAGCTAAGCAGGTGAAAGGAATGAACTAATTATCCAGTCATCAGTGCCAAGATCATGACACAATCAAACGATTAAAGGTAATTGTCTAAACATAAGTGTAACTAACTAATATTTTGAGAAGGCCAGTACCAGCATACATTACTCAGAATGACAGTAGATTGTCAATGAAGACATTCAGAGTGGATTTTTAATTGATGCAGAGCCAGTGAGTAACTGAAGGGAATTCTGCTAGTGCGGGTGTCTCAGACTTCCCAAGTCTCTCGGAGGTTCCGGGAGTCTCCAATCTTTTAGACAGCGCAGTGGTGTTTTTTTTTATGCGAATGAGAGCGTGCAGGCAATACAATAATTCGTGCATCATGTGCGGATTAGAAACTACTGAGATTGCGCAGACAACAAGAAAGAGTGGGGTGTGGGGAGGAGGTCGCTGGTGAATCTATCTATCAGCGTACCAGAAAAGCATGAAATAAAAAAAACAGGGCAAGAGATTCAAATGTATTATATTAAGAGAGCTGAAGTGAAATTTCTTTTCAATTAGGTTAAATAAAAATTCTATTTCTTATGAGGTCCATATACATTTATAATTAAGTAATTTTAAATATTTTTGACTTAATTTAAGTAAAAACTACCGTTTTCTATCAAATTTAGATTAGAATTCAAGAAGAACTGTTAAATTCATCTGTAAAAATTACAGCATTTTTTTCTATTTGTTGTGAAGAAGAAAACATTTAGCAGATAAAAACTTATTGTTTTTGAATAATTAGTCAAACAGAATTTGTAAAGAAAACGAATGAAATAGATCCAAAGGACCTATCAGTTACTATGTCTGTTCCAGTGCAGACCATCATTAGAATTTCTTTTAAATATTATGTCTTCAGTACAGGGGCCATAACAGGGGCCAGGACATGATCTACAGGGGCCCTGGTTGGCCCCTGTCTAGAACCAGCCATGGTGAGAAATTATGACACTGTGGCAAGATACACTGTATGCTGAAGTCCCATGAAAAACAGAAAGCACAACTGATGTTCAAGGCTACAAGATTGAAAGTATTAAAAATAAAAGACCAAATGATAACCATTTCCCTGAAATTAGTTTTTGGAACTTGGAATGTCTGGGGTCGGCAACCTGCGGCTCCAGAGTTGCATGCGGCTCTTTATCGCCCCCCTCTTGCGACTTCCTGGAGCTTTTACAAAAATTTATGAAAAATTACTTTTTCTGGTTAATGTATTTTAATATGGTGTGCAGGAAGGTCAAACAGACATTCTTTACGTTTCCCAATGCTGTAAACATTTGTATAATGAATAAATGTAAACAATATATGTAAACATTACTTCAACAAAAATGTGCGTCATAGCCATAGAGATCAGTGGTTAAAGCCTGAAACACATGTCTCAGCCCAGCGCAGTGCCAGGCAAAAAAAGCGGCGGGTGTGTCTTGGGCCATGGATCCCAAAGGGAAAAAAATTAAGATAGCTGATGAGAACAGGGGATTCAAAGAAGAATGGACAACATAATTTGCTCTCATTATCAATGCGGGAGGATTTCCTGCATTTTTGCTTGGCACGAGAATTTGTCAAATAATAAAAATGTTAGGAATCCAGCTTGTGTGGGTTGTTTGTGTGTTTTTCTCTCTCCACCACCAGGTGGTGCCCTGTCCTCCTTGGGCCTCTCTGCACACCTGTGGCTCGTTGGATCATTACTGGAGGAGTATTTGAGCAGTAGGCTTTCACTACCTCAACGCCAGAGTGTTTGCCAGTTTTGGGTACTCTAGCCAAG